ATAGAGGGCAAACACGTTATCCCATAATTTTTGTGAGTAACACATCGTTCCATTAACTCATCAGTTTGTTATGTGACACAATGTTTGCAACAAAATGATGAAATAACATTTAAGCAAATACATAACTGATTGCTCTAGGAAGATGCTTTGTAATATCTTTTTTGTTTAATCATGAAATTTTACGAGCTGAGACAAAGTTGTACTAAAGCTTTTTTCGTCCCCATTTCCACCAATGAGAATTCGCATCCTTGTCATTCATTTTTTCCGTAAAATCAGTGAGATTCATCATTCATTAAGGAGAAACTGTCTATGAAGGAGGTACTTTTGTTTTCGTCAGACGTGTTTCCCACTCTGAGAGTAATTTGGAGAGTACAATGAGAAAAGTGATCAAAAGGAGAGTGCTAAGACTCTTACAACCCCAAATGCAAAGAAATATTGAACAATAAAGAGACAACTTGATTAGTAGCCTACGACTAAAATAATATTCTCGAGGTATCAAAAGTCAAGTTACAAATACAGTTGCTACGAGGCATTGGAAGATGCTTCCTAAAATCTTCTTGATCTTGAATTCATACGAGCTGATAGAAAATTGTACAAAAGCTTCTTTCGTCCATATTTCCACCATGTAGGCATCCTGACGAGCTTCTTTTTCACCTGATTTTCTGTAAAACCAAAGAAATGTTATTAGGAGAAAGTGCAATGAAGAAAGATGCAGTTTCTTTAGGGAAGGATCACTCACTATTGTTTTCAATCAGACATGCTTCCCATTCCGAGAGTAATTTCGAGTAGCTGATAGCAAGCGATGGCCAGAACTTCATCTGAATATTCAGTACATCAAGAACAGCTTGCAGGCCAGCTCTTGATGGTATGGTAGCAATGGGCAAGTCGTTCTCCAGATTTTCACCCAGAAGCACCTTAATAGATTGAGCAGAATTTTGAGTCTCCATAACTATATGCAGATTTGAAGGAATAAGGATATCTTGTTCAAAGCAGAGACTAACCTTGATAACTGCTGTAGCAGAGGAAGATATGGAGCGGAGATTGTAGCTGCAAATGAAAACAAGGAGACTATTGAACAGGGGCCCCTTAAAAATAAGATGCTATTCAAAATCTGCAATACGCCTACCCGCCCTCGAGAATGACTAGCATTTTCCCACCGCACAGATCACCTAACATCTGTGTCATTCGAGAATAGCCAGCAGGAGTCACCTGATAAAAAGAGTTAAACAGAACATACTCTGTTGAAATTTGAAAAACAATACACTGATTCCTGAAATTGTAAATTACAGCTCTAGAATATCAAGCTTACATCACAGCATCCTAGTGGGTCTCCTCTAGCCGCATCAAATCCTGCTGATATGATCACAAAATCCGGAGAAAATGCAGAAGCTGCACCAGAAGGTTCCAGTTAAAATTTGACCAAAAGCATCCACAAGTGAGTCAAAACGTTACGCATCCAGATAAAAGTTGAACAAACTCAAAAGAGAGAAAAAAAGTTTCGTACCTATGGGAAGAACCACATGCTGAAACGCAAAAATATAGTCTTTATCACCAACTCCACCACAACTCCATGGAACATTCACACAATAACCTTCCCCACCATTTGTACCAACCTGCACCCCATTATTGATATTAGCAACTATTGCTCTGCTGCACAGAGAAAATTCAAACAGATTTCGGAAACAGTAGAAAAATAATCCCAAAATCTCAGAATACGTATACACCAACAACTAAATCTACTAATGAATGCTGGATGAGAAAATGCAAAACAGAAGAGCATAGTTACCTCATCAGCAGCTCCAGTACCAGGATAGAAGTTTCCTCCCTCATGTCTATGCAAGGATATGTACAATACCTATACAATGGTTCCCAATGATAAGTAAAAACAAGGTACTGCATCCAACACTCCAAAATCGATGTGCAGACATGCATAGAATTAGGCAGCTTACGCTTTTGTTTTGTTCGAATATCTCTTGGGTTCCATTTCCATGATGGACATCCTGCAACGGAAGATATAACTTTGATATGAGCAAAACCACACAATGCTGGGTACAACAAATTAAAGAAGTTTGAAGATCTACACAATCACCCAGTACTGAGTTATCAGTAACATTACCCAGTCCACAATCAGCACCTTTTTTGCCCCTGCTGCTTGTGCTACTAATGCAGCAACGGCTGCATTATTGTGAAGGCAAAACCCCATAGCATGCCTGATGCCAGCATGATGACCAGGAGGTCTAACCTGATTCAGTCAGAGGTTTGTTTTTGAAACTAATATGGTGTAATTTCAATTCAAATTAATTGTGTAGCTGCATCTTTATTTTAAATATTATAGTGACTTAGACATACCAAAGCGAAACCATTTTTGACACGGCCAGTGAAAATTTCTGTAGCTAGGTCAGCACACAAACCTGCTGCAAGTCTAGCAGCACGTGCTGAATACTCATTAGCATATGTGTCAGAGGTGAAGTAGCTGCCAGATAGTAGTAAAAGAACGGGATTGAGCAAAAAGAGATAAACGAGAAGCATCTTAGGGAAAGGTAACTAAGATTCAACTTTAAAAAGTCAGGTAAATAAGTAACTATATGCAAGGTGAACACTAAAAAGTAACATATGGTTAATAATTCAAACCTATAGAGAAACTGGCTTGTAGTATCAACAGTATCAACATGCTCCGAAGTGTGGACCTTAAAATTGACAAATATAAAGCAGTTATCGAATTGTTGGCAAAAGTTCTGCAACAAAATATTGAAAATATCTTTAAGATAGTTAAGTAGCAGCTTACCATTTGGAGTTCTTGTTTCGTGATTTCCCTTGCATTAATAGGCAAGCATCTTCCAGGAAAAACACCTGCAAATTTTTCAAATGTGATAAAAGTACCAATATTATTCCCAACAGTATGATATCATAAAATGAAACATAATAATATTCTCATGACAGTAAAAGCAACATACCAGCTGTGGCAAGACTAGCAGCTATAGCTCGAAGACGATCAGGTCTCTCTGGATGTGGATGTGCCTTCACTTCAAACTTTTTAAGCATGCCGTCAGCACGTATTAAAATAGAAACACTTGCACAAAGAAAGTCTATGGAGATAATAACGTAGAGATGTCAACAGATACAAGTGGAGGTTTCTCAGTAAAACATAACACAAAACAGTAACAAGATCATACTTCTGAGTGTAGCAACATTCTTTCGTCGAACCCAACAGCTGTCGAGCTGGTTTCAGATGAGTTTCCTAAGATCAAGATAAAAGAGAAGTAGACATGCTTAACGTTACTTTAAAACTGAAAAAGCAATATGTCCAGGACAATTTCAGAAGATGAAAAGCTATTAATTCCTACCTCCGTATTTCTCTTCGACTTCAATGAGACCAGTATCTTTAACCAATGGAGATGCAAAAGATCCAAGCCTCAGGATACCTGATTCCTTGTGTTCACCACAAATCTACAACAAAGAATCAACTTTACTGATGCATAACCAATGCACACACGTTCGTGATAACAAAAAGTAGCAGTAGAGCAAGGAAAGTAAATGAAAACGTACAAAACAATGGACCATATCACCAGGGTTCGACATAGTGCAATTGACACAACACCAGTTTATAAATTCCATAGGCGTCTGCACAGGTTCCCAATCACTATCATCCTCCTCATCATCATCACCATTCAGTAATGTCTCTGCACCGTAAATATCTTGAAATGTCATTTCCCTTGAAACCCTAGCTCTTTTCTGCACAAGACACAGCAATGACCGATGTCACCAAGAGCAGAAGAACCCAAAAACCGTGGCAATGCATTAAGAGGAAACCCATGGTTTTTTTAGCGTACGGCTGAAACTCCAGGAGCAGCAGCATTTATGTCTCCATTGCTAAACTCATCACCCGAACAAGGAACCGCAACATCACCACCGTTCACATGTCTTCTTCTCTTGGAACCCTCACAGGAACTCTCGAGAGTTTCTACAACCATTATTACCTCAGCAGTAGTCACTGAAACTACTAACCAGCTCGAAAAGCAAAAAATCTCCACTGTGCCAAAATAGAAATAAAGAAAAAAAACCCAATTGGAGAAATTTAAAAATCAAAAAGCTTCTTTCAAAATTTCATATACGACGAGCTAAATCAAAACGGAAAGCAAATGAAAGGAACTCTACACACGGCTAAAACAAACAACTTAACTGAAGAACCTCACTTATTCTTATGTATTTCGTAATCCCACCACCGATCCAAAACTCAGAATTACCTTTTCCTCTAATGGAAACAAAACCGAATAAAAATTCCAACGACGGAAGCAAAATATCATACCTGAAGAAACTTCCGGCGAAACGATGAACGGAGAAAGCTGCGTCCGTCGCCTATTTAGAGGAGCGTGACTCTACGATAAACAGAACGGAGTAGAGACTAGAGAGAGACGACGACGATGTTCAGACGTGAAAGTTTAAGAGATTAATTGGGCCAAAGATCTCTTTATGTCCGAAACGATGAATACTCAATAAGACTATAAGCCCATTAACACATGGGAGACTTGGCGACCAAAAAAAAAAAAAAAAACACATGGGAGACTTGCTTTTCTTTTGTTTCCTTTCTCTAGTTCTTAATTGTAAAATGAATGCAATTTCTTTCTAATATGATACAATTTTGTGTGCATATGTTAATAATATACAATCGCCATAGCACTCAAAAGCATCCTCTTTGTCTTTGTCTCGCTAAAAAAGTAGATACATGCATTAATATAAATTCTGAAACCATGGGAGAGAGATAGTAATATTGTTGCGTGTTATATATAGTTCAGAGGTAGAATATTGAGTAAAAGATATGTATGTGTATAATGTAACGACGACAACAACACACCCACATAGAACGCGAAAGGTAAAAGATGTAAATATGTGAGCTCTCTCCGTTTTATACCTCTATCATCATCTAATAATATATACATGATGATAACATATATATATATATATATATATATACGTCTACAAATGTGTGTATAGATATGAGATCACTTGTGGGAACAAAGAAGCATAGTAATACATTTCCCAATAATATAGAACCTTCCTTTCCTCTTTTTCAGAAACTCTCCAACTCCTTTTGGTGAAGAACTAGGCTTGTTCTTCTTCTCCCAATTCTTCACTGCCTCATCATCTTTTGACTTCTCCATCATTGTTTTAATATATGTGTGTATTATAAGTTGATAATTGTGTGATATATGTGTAATAGAAGTGTGAAGGCTCATCATTTATATACATATATTGGAGCTCGGAGCTAGTGAGAGAGAAAGAGATAAGGAGAGAGTATTCCCCACCACTGATTCGGGACCCTTCAACGAAAGAACCCAAAAACAAAGGCCACTTGTGAAGTGTGACCGACTAGCTTCCCATTATGGTTGAAAATATTTGATGTATTGTTTTCTTGTCTCCTTTCAGTTCAAAGATTCATCATCGGTACATATTAATGATTTCCAGTTCGATTATTGGATTTATGCATTTTACAACATATAAGGTTTTGCGGACCGTCCATATTTGATCTTAATTTCTTTGTTTTAAAATAGGACATGCAATCTTACATTAATGTAGTTAACATGCTACATAAACTTACATATTCTGATATTCATACGACGATCGGAGAACGAATGAATCTTATCATAATTCTTCTCCCATATTAGCATTTGTACGTACGTACGGTTTTAAAACAAGAACGTAGACTACCATTAGGTTTAAAAGAAAGAAAAAACCGTACACACTCCTACTGACTCGAGCCATATAATGATATTTTGCATTTAAGTCTCTAGTCATCTAATAATTGAAATCCATCACGTATGAAGGTCTAGTCATGTGTCTTCCTTACAATATGGACAGCTCATTTCGAGTAAATCGTCGTCAGAGACCTCAAAACATTAGTATGTTCATAATCATGATAACCTTTTGTTTTTTTTTTGTACAACCACACATATATGATATATACTTACTGAAGTGAGGTGTGAAAATATGTAAAAATGAAGAAGACTAACGTAGATTTTTCTTTGTCTACAAATTAAGAATATCATACAAGCTAGTTTGTATTATTTACTTTTCTTCCCACGAATATTATTGGTTTCTGATGAGTGTGTTCTTTTTTGGGGGGTGCTGTGCTTGGAATTTGTGGCTATAAGACATTGACATACATTACACATGATCGTTTGGTGGACAATCCGACACACGTATTCTTCTCTTTCAAATAGAAGTGTTATTTGAAGCTACTCTTTCAAATTTTGTTTCTTACTATTTTGGCGGTGCAAGTTTTGCTTATTCTTTTTTTCTTTGTAGCAAACAACTTTGATCTCTCTATGCTTTTTGGTTTGACTAGAGACTTAAACTGTTTGTCTGTTTCTGTAAACATATTTGTTATATGAATTATATAATGACGAAAACTGTTACAACGACCACCACTTCGTCTAGACACACATGCATATATAAATTATGTTTTTGTTTATTTTTTAAATTTATGTGAAACATTTCTGATTCGATCTTTTATTTAAGACTTGAGTGATTCTTCTATTGAAACGTGTATTCATCGAGTTCACAGTCACACTTTGATATTAAAAGAAAAAGAGAGGAAAAGAAATAGTACTTTGACAATGATCATCAATCTTTCAGATAAGACGACAAAAACAGAATAATTCTGCGGAATTAGGAGATTTACAAAATTGCAGAGCCTCACAAACTTCTAAAAATAGATATCAGTTCGGACCAAACAAAAGTGTCGTTTTCTGATTGTGTAATCTACGTCTTTGTACGTACAATCAGATTGTCACAAAGCTTAGGAGAGTTTACGTTCACCAATAATGATTCTTTAGCACCAAATAGAAGATATCTAATATTATTGTTTCAATCAATGCTTCAAACTTTTTATGTTAACAAAATCTTAAGTATTGAAGAAGGATAATTTACGTTTTCTCTTTTATGAATTCAGATTCTGAAATTTGTAAACTATGTAAAACAAAAACTTGAAAATTCAAGTATACTATCTGAACTCTGAAGTAGCAAGAGTCAGTTTTAGTGGTAATATATCATTTTCCATAAAAAGTGGGAAATCACATGGGAGATTTGTATATATATATTTTCAAACGTAAAAGAAAGTGAAAGGTCGAATCCATCACGTCGATCTTCGTTATAATTGAGAGAAGTAATCAAACTTAATGACGATCTTCACGAAAGGGGCAATGGGGAGGGGATGCACCATGCACGTGAAGTTCACGGAGACAAGACATCTCTTGCCTGTTGGCTGTTACAACCTTTTATTTCTTTTTTTTTACAAAAACACTCTGATATACAAAACCTTAAATCTTCCCATCTCCACGAAACAGTTATATATGTAGGGCAACCCGTTCATTTGGCTTTATCTGTGTTTTGTTTTTTCTTGCCAACTTACTAGCTTTACAAAAAAATCCATGTACCTCTCATTTTTTCTTGTTTTTACGTAACAAATAGGAAGGGTGATTGCACTCTATATAATATATTTAACTAAATTTATTGATGCATAAACATGTCACTTTTTAAAATTAACTATTAAGTAAATATAGCATAACTTGGATTATGATATCACAACTTCTACTCTTGTTTAGTTTTTACTGTTTAAAACATTAAATGTGACATCTCTCTGAGTGATGTTGGTGTCATCGGGGTAGAGAGAGACCCGCCTGAAAGATCCGAGAGAGGAAGTCCAAGTTACAGGTGGCCAGTAGGTCCATGATGGGTATAAGACTAGGAATAGAACTTGGGATTCCCAAAACCTTTTGAGCTGGATCGATCTATACCAAATGCTTTGCCTAGCCTAACCTCTCTAAAACTGTAGCTCAGTCAAACCATCATAGACTCAAAATCTAATGTTCTAAAGATAATAACATCAATCTTCATGATAGACATACTACTCGTTCGTAGTTCGTTAAAAGGATTCTTTTTTATATACTTTACAACATACAAAAAAATATAGCATAATTGATTAAGGATTTGGATGCAACAACTATTTATGATGTAATAAGAAAAAGAGAAAATACATATATCATTAATCAATATCGCTGCTTCTCTGGTCCATCACCATGGTACTTTAGTTTTCAAACCAAAGGCAATTGAAACATTTTCATATAATGCCAGACCAAACCGAACAGAAAAGAGTAAAACGAGAAAACTGACAAAACATCTGTTGGGCATTTCGTCGAACACTTAGAAGGCATGCTCCCACGCAACTCAAACAAAACAAGGCTAACCGGAATCTTCATCGACCAGACTAAGTTTCTCTTCTTCTTGTCTCCTCAGCATTTCCTTCTCGTATTGCTTTAACGCTTCCTCCATCTTCATCTGCGTTATACACAACAGTCTTTAAGGTCGAGCACAAGCGTTTTCTCCAGAGAGAAGACGAAGACGAAGAAACTAACCTTGTAGCTAACTTCGATGCGATGCATTACGTAGAATCCGAGAGTCCCCCCGAGAAGTGTTCCAGCTATGATCCGTGCGTAACCCCATGTCAGTGAGCTCAACGCCATTTCCTCGCTTTCTTCTCTCTTCTTCCTTCGGTTCTCTCACACAATCTCCAAGCTTTAGAGATCTCGTTTTACCGGAACCAAATTAGAACCGTACCGACTGGTTCAATTCCTTGTTTTTGGTTTGGATTTGTTTTAATCCATTTCAAACCGAGCTTATCTTCGGTTCGGATTAGATTCACAAATCACAGTAAACTAAAACAAATTATGGGTATTTCACTTTCAATTACGTTCAAAGAAGTCGGTTTAATTACATTGACCAGTTTAAAAAAGCTGACAAATGATTCTGACCATCTCAATTTCAATTATTTACGGAGAAGTTGGTTTACTATGGTACCATGATTCGGTAATTTGTAAACATAGACAAACATTTGTAAACCAAAACTAAGCTGGCTTTAGATGCTTTCAACCGTTCGGTTCAAAGAAAAATTCAGAAACAAGTGCCAAGTGATCGCTTCCTAGTTCCTGCAAAACCAAAGACGACGAAGGCTCTTAATGCATTAAACATAAAAGTGTGGTCACAAAACTTAAAACTGTAGAATGTAGATAATAAAACATACTTGACAAGGAAGACCTCTGGTTTTGCAGAGAACATCAATGGGAAGTGTATCAAGAACTCTTGCAGGTACAAGACCATCAGAGTACCTAAACCAGACCACACGTATGTTTCCCATTAGTGTTTAGTTTCATCGGCCAACTGTTGAATTAGTCACTGTCATGTTTTGGTTTTATGTAAGGTGTTTTACCAGAGATAATCAACCGTTCCAAGAAATTTCGAGTGATACGAGGTTGCTAGAGGTTCACCAACAGAGTCCCTGGTATTTGCAGAGCCCTGTTGTGTAACATGAAAACACATAATCCTATTTGAGTCTGATTATTTCACTCGTTCTTGTCAAGACAGTAAAGCTTTGTTTGTTACCTTAACTGAGGCGTATGAGCTACTGAGTTTCAGCGGATGTACAGCCCAGTACGAGTTCTCTTGCCCGGTCGCGACGCGGATCTCTTCGTTGGTCCAAGAGCTACAAATTCAACCAGAGGTTAACACAATGGCTATTTCACCAGGTAGACCACTAGACAAAAATTAACTGCAGACCTATTCAAATCTTCAAAGAATGATCTTAACCTGCTTATGAAAGTTATTGAATTACTAGTTTTGCTTCCGGTCTCAAGAACTTGGGTTGGACGACAATTTTTCTGGCCAGACAGCTGTCTTTTGTCATGTTCCATGATATTTAGCTGTAAGATAGAGAAACATAATCCAATTTAAGAAACTACAAGCGGAAAAATGTGTGGTTTGACTGAAACAAGACAGTATATGGTCATTCATACCTCAGAGGATGCCAAAAAGTTGTACAATGGACTCTGCCCGTGATTAGATAAAAATCAAATGATGAGATACGCAAATACAAAAGTAGATGGGTTCATTTGAAAAGATTTATACCTGGGGAGTGCTATTGAAATCCCCACCTAGAACAATAGGAATGTCACCCCATTTCTTAGAGAGCAAGTGAGCCTTTGAGCAGAGTGAACGGATCTATCAGTCAAGAATAAGCCATATGAACGAATCAGGAACTAAAGCTATGACTTCAGTACGTTTTCATGCGCATTCAACATTTCATGACAAATGCTAGTAACTTAGACATATGGACACATGCTAGTGAGCATCTCTTGACTTAGATTCAGTACATTCTCACTAGCTTAACAAAAAAAACCATGAAAAGAAACTGGGAAAAATAGAACTGATGAAGTCTTAAAGCCAAAAGGGCCAGATCAACAATTTGTAAAGCTTTCATGACTGTCAATTGCTTGTGATGAGGACATACCAATTGAAGTGTCGAGACTTACCTGACCCAGCTTCACATCTCCTTTATTTGGATTGTAACGCACGTGAATGTTACCCAGCAATATCTTTCTTGAGTTAGACTTCCGCAGCTTACAAGAACCACCGAAAAATTTGATCAAGAAAGGAAATCGCCTAAGCATATACATGAAAACAGTTTGTATAACATTCAAAAGAATGCTACCTCAAGAACAGCAAGCTGTGCAACATTATCGCCCATACCAAACTGGCTAAACTCAATGTTTTCCCTCTCCAAAACTCGAAACCTTGTCAAAAAGAAGATACAGTATTATCTTAAACAATGCTGAGTTGAAAATTGTCGTTTATCTTCAGACTAATACAAATTGAGACCAAGCAACATGAGCTACCTGTCAGCCTTCCAAAACACTGCGCATCCATCGATGTTATCTCCAGTTCGCCGCTGCCATTGCAAAGCTTATATTTTGTAGTCCTTCTATAGAAACACAACTTTTTGCTGATGCTTCAGACGAAAAGGTAAATGAAACCAACCAAAGATGTTTTATATACGTAATGCCATTCATTTTTATAACCAGAGAAAACTTTCATTGAACAAACAACAAAGGAAACACAGAAACCTTGTAGGAGCCAGCATATCCAGCTTTCTCCATCATGCTGAAAAGATCGAAATACTTGTCTACTTCCTACAATGACCATGCAAACAAAATCAACATAACACTCAACCTCAGAGTCGATAAAGGAAAAGTCTATTACCTGCATACAGATTATGTCTGGATTGAGACGAATGAGCTCCTCGCATATCAACCTTTTGCGGTATCCCCACTTAAGGTAAGGAAAAGACACATTGGAGTACAAATCTATGTGATGTGATGCATTTCTAACTCCCAGTATGTTGTATGACACTACAGTGAATCTCTCTGAACCTAATATTACACAGAGACGACACTTGTAAGAACAAAGGCATCCGCAATAGAAACTCACAAAGCCTAACAAATATCTCAACGACGTTTAATTTACCACTCTAAATACTTCACAAAGCCTGGTGCACAATTCATGAGTAAACACAAATAATCTCTTAAGAGCATTATTTTTAATTCATATTACCTTGGGACACTGGAGTAGTTGTATCTGAAACGATCCAATCACGAACAATCCGAGAAGACGGCATTTGATCGGGATGTCGACGCCGGGGAAGAGGGTTGTGCCATCTACGGCTGTAAGAGCGATTTGAATATGGTTCGGGATTTGAATCGGACGGTCCAGATGTGGAGGAGCAAGACACGGCGAAGTTGTTGGCATCGCAAGAGGAAGAAGAACGGAAAGATAGAGGCGATAAAGGGCATGGATTAAATCCAGATGAAAGGTGACCACCGAAGGAGATACGGTTAGCTCCGGTTGGCCGTGACCACGAACAACCAACGCAATTCACACAACGCATTCGAATTTTTTTTTGTGGAGGTTTTGAGATGAAATTTTCAGAAATATTTGGAAGCAATCCAAAACCACACATACCGCTTGGCGCCCAGACGGATAGATATCTTCTTCTTTTTTACGCATCCATGGGCCACTATAAGATAGGCCCAAGCCCGTTAATATCTCTTCTTCTTTTTAGTTTGCGGCCTTTCTAATTTACTTTCTTTACAGGTTTGTTTTTTATTGGTTAAACTTAACCCAATCAAAGCCATAATGTTTTCATTTTACAATAGCGACATTTCTACTAATCTTTTCCTAGCAAGCATGCGAGTAATAATAGTATAAATGTATCATGGTAGAGTCTAACTCAAAACTGTATCAATAATAATAATGTCTATGTTCCTTTCTCTTTTTTGCAATATTTGCCTTCGACAAAGAGGAAAAAAAAAACTCTTATTATTGCATCTACATTATCATGTTCTTAAGGCCTTTATTACTATAAAAGTACTCCATATTAACGAATCTTGAAATGTAAATTTAAATGAAGCATATCAGCACATGTATAAAAACAAAAGCATCCGATTGTTGTTGATTTAATATGCATCATCTTATTTAGGGAAAAAGTAAAGTGGGTATGGTAGCAAGTTTTTTTATAAAAACAAAAGAGAAGTAAATGATACGCAACAACCAAGGCCAAAAGGGTGCGTTACCATTAATTCAGGGAAAGCGAAATAAACCCAAATCTCGTCTAACCATAGTAGTAACAACTTACCCACTTCTCTCATTTAATTACCATTTCAACCTATATCTACACTTTTCCACTTCGTTATACCTTAAAGCCTTGGTTCCACTAATCACAGTAAACAAATTACATTCACTTACGCTCCACAAATCAACGTTAGTCCCCAAATATAACAATTAACAACACACATAGCTAATATAATAATATAAAGTTTTAATACTTTTTAAATTACCGCATACAGCTTTTACTTTACTAGGGATAAGATTTTATAGCTTTGCTCTACGTAAAATATGAAAAAGTCGATGTTGTTAAATAATTAAGAGTAATTAGGTATTCCAAGTTCTTTGCAATAAAATAAAGACACACGTACTTAGACTAAGTCACGCATATCTAGGAGTACTGGATAAAATCGCTTTGTAGACTTGTAGTAAGAAAAATTTAGCAAGTCAATCCCTATCAAGACAACCAGTACCCACCTATCTATCTACTCGGTCCGTACAGTAACCTACGCTGTAATATTTGAGTTAAATTCTACATAGTACAATTCTTCTTTCCTTTTGACGCCAATATAATTATTTATATAAACAATCTCAAAATTACATTTGTTTTTTTTTTGTATAAAATATTTATGCCATGTCGGGATCATTTTTAATTTTATTATTGTATAATATAAAAATACAATATCCAACTATAAAGTTTTTATACATGTCGTAATGTGATGATAAATAATTGATGTGGCTTTTATAACCACAGCAATTCTGGCGTGACTCTCTCCGCAACATTTTATTTTATTTTTCCTCTCTATATAATCAAAAACATTTCTTACTCTTTCCCTCTTCCACATAACTCATATCAACCTTCGCCGGGAAAAATGGCTCTCGTGCGATTTATCTCTCTCCTCACCGTCACTCTCTCTCTTTTCCTCACCACGACCTATGCTTCATCACGTTCTCTATCCACCCCACCTGAAACGACTGTGCTCGACGTCGTTTCATCTCTCCAGCAAACACAAAGCATCCTCTCACTCGACCCGAGTCGTTCCTCACTCACCTCCACCAGACCCGAATCCGAATCCTTATTCGACCCGGTTTTCCTCAACTCGTCTTCACCACTGTCTCTAGAGCTTCACTCCCGAGACATTTTCGTCGCGTCGCAGCACAAAGACTACAAGAGCCTGGTACTGAGTCGTCTCGAGCGTGACTCATCCCGAGTCAACGGAATCGCCGCAAAAGTCCGATTCGCCGTCGAAGGGATCGACAGATCCGATCTCAAACCCGTTTCCAACGAGGATACACGGTACCAGCCCGAGGATCTAACAACGCCTGTCGTCTCTGGAGCATCCCAAGGAAGCGGAGAGTATTTCTCAAGAATCGGAGTCGGAACTCCGGCGAAAGAGATGTACTTGGTGCTCGACACCGGAAGTGACGTGAACTGGATCCAGTGTCAACCTTGCTCCGACTGTTACCAACAATCCGACCCGGTTTTTAGCCCGACTTCGTCGTCCACGTACAAATCACTCACTTGCGCTGCTCCTCAGTGCTCTCTTCTCGAAACCTCCGCTTGTCGCTCAAACAAGTGTCTCTACCAAGTTAGTTATGGTGACGGATCCTTCACCGTCGGTGAATTCGCTACCGATACGGTGACGTTTGGTCAGTCCGGTACACTAAAGGACGTAGCTTTGGGATGCGGTCACGACAACGAAGGTCTCTTCACCGGAGCAGCCGGTTTACTCGGTTTAGGAGGTGGAGCTTTGTCAATGACCAAGCAGATGAAAGCGACGTCGTTCTCTTACTGCCTCGTCGACCGTGACTCGGGTAAATCGTCGAGTCTTGATTTCAACTCGGTCCAACTCGGAAGCGGAGACGCGACGGCGCCGCTTCTACGTAACCAAAAGATCGACACTTTCTACTACGTCGGGCTCAGCGGGTTCAGCGTCGGTGGTCAGAAAGTCACGATACCTGACTCGATCTTCGAAGTCAGCACTTCGGGAACCGGAGGAGTGATCTTGGATTGTGGAACCGCCGTGACTCGTCTTCAGACAGAGGCCTATAACTCGCTTCGCGACGCGTTTATTAGACTCACCGCGAATCTCAAAAAGGGGACCTCGAGCATCTCTTTATTCGACACGTGCTACGATTTCTCGTCGCTCTCCACCGTGAAAGTACCGACGGTGGCGTTTCATTTCACAGGAGGTAAGTCGCTAGATTTGCCGGCGAAGAATTATCTGATCCCAGTAGATGATAGTGGAACGTTCTGCTTCGCTTTTGCTCCGACGTCGTCGTCGTTGTCGATCATCGGAAACGTGCAGCAGCAAGGGACACGTATCACTTACGATCTAGCGAATAATCGTATTGGACTGTCAGCGAATAAATGCTAGAAAAAAGAAAAGTAGACAAATTAATAGTTTTACAGATATATCAGTAAAACTTTTTTTATGGGAAGTACGGAAACAGGAAGAAGATGAAGAAAAACAAATCTTTTTAAGTGTGAATTTTTCCTTTTCTATGTCTTTTTTTTTTTGCTTCTTAATTAATCATAAGTTATTTCTCAATATTTTATCGAAATAATAATAGGATTAGTTATTTACTTATGTATAATTAAGTTTGAAAATGAAGTTGTTGTCTCAGCAAGCTCTATCAGGTAGCAGTGTTTGTGAGAAGAATAGTCAAAAAAGAGTTTTTATGTTACACAAAGAAGCTTGTAGTATCTTTTTGTAAACTATAAAGAAAAGTCTTCAAAGAAACAAACTTTTCTGTTGTGGCCCCAATGTTCTTTCAATATTTTATAAATTACAGTCTGAATCTACCAACTGTGTCTATAAATCAATCAATGTGAAAGTTAAGTTGCGGTAGTCAAAAGAAAGAAGAAGAAAAATGACAGGGTAGAGAAAAATTTGCCTTTTTCACATTCGATTATATAAAAAAATATTTTCATGGAACAGTGGGCGAACTGAATTATCATTCTAATCACTATATAAGTTAAAAACATAGTTTTTATATTAATACTAAAAATTCAAAGGAAATATAATAAAGTTTTCAACTGAATTTGATTTCGAGTTCACATTAATATGCATAAGAGATCATAACAAATTAGACGGTTAATTGTGTCATTATGTGCGTAAGCAAAACATGCATGCATGGAGCCACGTCTTGGGGAACGAATGACGAGGGTCGACTTTTAGGGTTTTTACTTACCTTAGCCATCGTAATATAACGACTATCGAGTATAAATGTATAATCATGTGCATATAAAGTCACGGCCCACGGGTTGAGTTAGTTGGCCAGCCCGTTACTAATTTCGTCATCAAAAGTCGTTTTCTTATTCATTTTTGTCTCTAAAACTTTTTTTCGCTATAAAATGGTTAGGCGATACGGATAATTACCATATACTATACACTACCTTGCGGTTGTGTGTGATATCATCTTATATGTATGATGACTGCAAAAGAAATTTATAACATTTTAACAAACTTCAAGAAAATGCCATTTCGTATTTAACGCTACATGGCGTGAACGCAAAGGGTGACGGTAGAATATTGGTAGCGGAAACTTAGGATGCTATTTCTGTCTTAGATCTAATTAATCATATGGGAGATGTTTAATTCTAACGGAATCTATATATATAAAGTTAATTTTTTCTCTCTTCTCCTTAAGCCACATCATTATCCACCTCATTTTATTATTTAATTTTTAAAATTAATTATACCATTTTATCATTTAATTTTAATATTTAAACCTATGTAAATAATCTATATATATAAAGTTAACTTTTTCTCTTTTCACCTTAAGCCACATCATCATCCACCTCATTTTATTATTTAATTTTTAAAATTAATTATACCATTTTATCATTTAATTTTAATATTTAAACCTATGTAAATAAGTTTTTCCAAAATAAATATGAAAGGTCTTTTATTATTATTATATATTATAAAACTAAAAAAAATAATTGATTAAGAATTAAAAAAACTTACTAATTATCGATTATACTAACAAATATAATGTATAATATAAACCCCACATCATCATTCATCTTAATTTTTTACATTGATTTAGAATTACAACACTTTAGTTTTTAATTTCTTTTCTACCTCATAACTTAGCTTTTATTTTATTTTTCAATTCAATAGTGCTTTTAAGAAAATAAATAATATAGTAAAAAACATTTATGTCCAAAATAAATACAAGTATATATTTATAAAGTAATGATCAATTTTTTGATTAATGGGGCTAAATACAAAAACAAAATACAAAGTAAGGATATTTATACTATACAGATAGATATACCACTAAATTGATGTCATCCGAGGCCACCTCAAACGAAAACACAACCGATTTTAGGCATAAGAGTAGAAAAAAAAACCTAAAAAGTAAAATGAAAAAACTTGGATAAATAAATAAGTGGATTCACCAGAATAATTTGGCTTACAAGAATTGAAGGCTTTTGAAATGTAAGGTTTTAACAGCTACTATTTGACCTAAATCAAAGTTAAAAAAAATAAAAATAAACATTTCATATACTAAATTAATACAAAACAACAGTAAAAACAAAAAAAAATAAACAGAAAACAAAGAAAAATCAAAATATAAAAAACAATTATAAAACTCCCGCGCGAGCGCGCGGGTCAACAACTAGTACATATATATATATATGTGGATTTATGTGATTTTGTTCATAAATTACGATGTACATATGTGAAGTAAGATATATGTCATTTTGTGAGTTTACGTTTGGGATCAAAACTATATTTACTTTTAATATGCCTTCCCATTAATCCAACGTTTGTTGTAATAGTAAAGTCTTATCAATCGAAAACTATATATCATGAAATTTAAATCATGACTGATTATCTTATGTCCAAATAAAAGTTATACTATAAACGTATAAAGTATGATTCGTCTCAAAATCTCAAAATTAACATGATAATTTAATATAAAACGATTGCATAAAAACTAAATTAACAAATTGAATATGGACGTAGTAGCGTTAGGGGGTGAGGTAATTGAAGAATAAAGAATCACATGCAGAGTGGCCCCCAATCTCATCTCATTATGCTCCTTTTGGACAATGCCATATGAATGCAGCCTACGCTATTTTTGTCTCCCCCAAACTCTTTTATGATCTTTTTTTTTCAAAATCATATTATATATACGGTATCAATATATACCAACAAATATATTAACATTCTTTGCATGCGTTTGTGACCAAATAACTATGATTATTGTCTAAAACACATTTTCAATTCAAAGAGTCGAAGAAAGGGAAGAAGAATAAGCTTTTGGTCATGGTGGTTCTTAAGAACTCAGAATATTGTGTGACCACTTTTGTTATTGGCTTGTCTCTATGTATACCGTATTATCTCTCGCCCAGTGATTTGATTGATGGTTTTCTGCGATTAGAGATTACTGATCGAACCAACACTTTGTTCACACGAGTATATATATCTTTTCTGTGGAACGGTGAATATTGTGGTCCATAGACACAAATTTTGTAGGCTACGAGCTAGGACGAGTTTTTGATCATCACCCTTGTGAGTATTTTTGTTTCCATTGGGAGCTAGATATCTTTTTACAACTCTTATATATGTATATAGTCTTAAGAGATAATCGATACAAAACTAGCTAGGAACATTTATAATTAGTATTTGATATTGCAATAAATCTCGTTTATACGACTGTCAAGACTACGTAGTTAGGAAAATTTAATATGATTTTTTCATTTAACATAACAAATTCATGATTAACATAACAAATTCTAGTAAGACAAACATTTTATAGCTTTCCATAAACCCAGGTTTATTAAAAGTCTATATTTTGCATTAGTTCGTGGTAGTAGTAAAGATAGAACTAATGTTTATTACTTGATAATATTTATTAAAAGTTTATTACTTGATAGTATTTCATATTTGTGTTTGTTCTATTGTTTAAAGTTAAAACAAAAAGAAGATATGTGTGTTAGTAGTCCCCCTGAAATAAATAAGAAGATAGCATAATGGCGATGGATTAGCAACCAACTAAATTGATTGCAAATTAGAGAAGTGATGTATTAACAACGAATTTAAACGTTAAGCGTCGTGGTTTAGAGTTTTTGGATTAATAATAAGAGAGAAAAGGGAGAGAACAAGAAAGTAAAGGAGGGCACCGTTCCCTCGTGGTCCTCATTACCGCACGTGGCCCCCACTCCAGTTTATTGTCGGCACGATATTAAACTCAATAGTAAGATGACACGTGTCACTGTAGCCCTCCTCTCGGATGACGAACTTTCAATTCTCTTTTCTAACTACAGTAACTAAGTACCAGTTTCTGTGTTTCTCACACTAGAATCAGACAGTAGAGATACTGCTGCTGCCGTGTCACGTGGACGATACTATAGTAACGTATGACCCCTTCCCCCCAAATATTTACTACAAAATTATACTAATACTAATAGAGACTTACCTACTAATCATGCCAATTATTCACAGTTTTGTACTTAACACAAACTTTAAAATATGATTTCCGTAATACATATAACAACGCTTTCTTTTTCTTTATGGAAACAATGGATCATTTTATTTCTAATGCCAAGTTGTTTGGATACATTATTCTTTTTTTTTTTCAAGATGGTTAAAGGATGTTGATACTTTTGTCATAAACTAAACCAATTACTTGAGTTGTGTGTTTTATTAGTACAATACGTAGTCGTTTCCAAATATAATGAAACTAAATTAACAATGTTATAACCCTTATTTCAGTAAATGTGTATAAATGAGCCACTCATCACTCATGCTCTCCATCTATGTTCTCCAGTCTCCTACACTTACCTAGTTGCCTATATATGCTTACTTAACTAACACATATTGTAGTTGGATGTATCTAATGAGTATATAAATTAGGGCATAATGACGCAGACAAGTTATATACTAGGACGAAAACTTATAATTATGACCCATATAAAGACGAAGACAGTATGCGACATTAAATGCGTTTTATTTACTTTGATTTATTTTTAACAGTATCATTTATGCAAATTCATTAAATTCTATATTTACAAGTTCCAAGATGCGCATTGGATACTTCTCGTTTAAAAGTTAAGAGTTTATCCCTCCCTATTCACATTGATTCCTCTATCCTGAAATCTCGTTTCATAATCTTTGTTTCGAGTTTGGAAAAATCGATCTTGAAATGGACTTATATGTTTGTACTCATCTATGGATAATGAAATATGAACGACACACACACACACCCCGTTGTACCCTTCGTAGGGCCGATGTAAATGATTCCGTTCTCATTGAAACATGAAGGAGTGAACTTGTGTTTCACGGATATGGTGATGACAAAAGTTATTTTTGGGGATCTGATTTATCTATTTTGTCCATGTGGTTTTACTCCTTGAATCTGAATACATTACGAGCGAAAACGAAAGAAGGGATATTATAAAGGGACACATAGTAGTGATACTACAAAGAACTTAATGACCAAAACTTGTTGAGCGGTTGACTAAAACTTGACGGATGGAGAAGACCCGTTGAAAGAGATCTGATCGCCAAGTGGTGGTGTTAGCATTAAAACCACTCTCCGTTCTCTTTCGGTCCCCAAATTTCTAATTTTCACACCTCACTTTATATAATGCACATGTAAATTATACCAAATATTTTTCTGATCTCTCGATGAATTGTGTTTATCAATATTCTTAAATTTAATCAACTGCATAAACTGTTTTGGCTACTATCACGATGTAAATACACTAGAAATATATATGCTTTTTCTCCCGACCTCTTCATCTTCATAGAGGAACTTCTACAAGTGTCCATAGTGGTTTGTCCATATTTTAATGGCTCTTTGAGCAGAAATTTGGTCTGACCATCAGTATCAAGAAGACTTGTCTTCGTTTCAACAAGCCTAAACTAGGATGATCCGAATATATCACATCCGTATACTAGTTGTATATCTCCATGATATATTACAGCTAATCTCAAGTAGAGAAGACATCAAAGTTTTTGTATGTAAAGAAGAAAGCAAATCCTCCAACTACATCTTTGGCAAAAGCTGCTAGACGTAGACCAAGTGAAGTGACCAACACCTACCAACCCTTGTATATATCTTAAGTTTAACCTTCTACTCTTGTATTGTCATGTAAACATCGATTTTATTATTGGAATGAATGAAAGATCTAAAAAGGTTGGAACCAAATTGCAAGTCCCAAATAAAAATATCAAACTAGTAGCAAGTTGTCGTTAATTAAAGATTTCCTCGTTTTAACAAAAAGTACTAGTTCAAGCCTTCAAGGGATGAAGAAAACTTTTTCCTATGGTCAAAGTTTATTTATCTCAAATTTCTGATTTTCCAAATTAAAGTGCATTGTACTAAAAATTAAACATTTGTGGTGTCTCGAAGCGACACTATCACCCATATACAAGCGACACTATCACACATCAAGCCTAACGTATTTTATCTTCAAAAGCTGTCTCGTTTATACGATCTTCTCCTTGTTAATAAAGAGATCGATCACTATGGCCTCTGAATCTTCTGCTGCCAAGATGCTTAGTTTCTTTTATGGTGTCACTGGAAACCGAATCGTGCACCCAACCCACGGTAGGCTTTCACACTACTATCCCTCCTGCCACATGATGGACTACGTAGTCCATTCTATGAACATTACGCTTTGTGATAATTTTGATTTCAAACAAGCCAATCCCTACTATCACCCCTACATCCTCCGCCTCTACTGTGGTGTTCTGTTTTGGATCCAGTGTCTTAGAGCTGGAAACAATGTCAATGCTCTTACTGATGTTCAATACCGGTTCCTCAACCGGTTCTTGAACAACCATCCCTTGGAAACTCTCGCCATTCCCGGCCCTCTCCTCGAGCTCTTCAAAACTCTCTGCTCTTCCCAGCCTGAGTTTCCTCATAATGGGAAAGTATACCCTCAGATACCTGCTCAACCAGGCCCAGCTCGACGCGATGCCTTCATGGGAAATCTCCTTGAAAGCTACTTCTTGCCTAACGTCCCTGGGATTTTCGCGCTCTTGGAAGACCTCAACCGTCTATTTTCACAATATCCTCCTGTCTATCCAAAAAGAGGCAGACACATTCCTGTAACGGAAGATGCTGTCTCTACCTTCGGTCACAAGACCTTTGGTTCCCATGCTAACAGGACCGAGGCTGAAAAATGGTCACTCGTTTCTCCTGGCTTACAGTACCCTTGTGAAGCCGATCAAAAGCTGAATGAGGCGTTTGCTGAATGCTACAATGATTTTGACTTTCAGGTTACTGCTGCCACTGATAACCTTGAAAGCATCTCCTCCTTCCTCCACTTGAAACATCGCATGACTTGGTTCACCCAGGTAAAAGGAGTTGCGGATGATGTTGCTGCATCCTTTGAAGGATCCGGCACCCTTGCTGACTGCCCTCCGCATGGCTTGGTTGCTAACCAAGTCATGGTCTGTCTCTCTAAGCCAAAAAATCTTCCCGACCCACCAACTTGCATTGCTGATAAGCGTGCAACCTATGAGTTCAGCTACAAGCTCAAAAGCACAGCTTTCAACCTCTCTCCTCTTACGGAAGCTGTTGCTGCCTTCTCTCAGACGCATGTCAGGATGTTTCCTAACCATCCCTTCTTTGGGACGTTCGGATCTAAAACTCTTGATCATGGTCCGTTCTGGAACAGGAGGCCCATTGGCTCTAGCCTTACCGATGATAGCTCCAACCTCACCATCCCATCGATTGTCAAGCAAGCATTCAAATCCAAAGTCCCAGCTACGTAGGTGTTGTTGCCTTAAAAATTTCCTTGTATTCATGAGTTGGAAAAGCAATAAAAAGTCATTCCTCTCTGATGTGTGTTGCTTTCGTGCACTTTTCAAGTTTGTTGTCCCATCTACAGGTGGTTGTTTTTTACTGTGACCAGATCTCAAAGTATGCATATGAACGGATGTAAGCTTTTAGACTAGCTTTTTTTGGGATTAAAGTAAGCTATTTTTGTGTGGCTTTATATATGTATGTAATTAATGATTCGAATCCCGCTGTACAAAATATATGATGATTCAACCTTTTAAAATTGCCCAGTGAACACTAACAGAACCGCAAACACAACGACCAAAAACGAAAAAGTTTAGGGTGAGAGCTTAGAGACCGTGAGGGAGATTTGTGGTTGCTTCTGTCATCAGAGTCTCCTCTGCTCCGTGGCTAACAGAAAAAGAAATAAAAAGGAGAAGAAATTATTTAAAATGAATCACATCATGGAATCATAACAAAAATTGGTGGGTTTAGTACCTGAGATAGCTGTAAGCAGACATACGGTAGAGACAAGTGAAGACAAGTACGTGCAATCCTATTGTGTAGAAGAAAGCAAACGTCCTCGCGTATCTGAAATATCCAATAATCTAACTGAATACGGATGATTCTTGATGATTGAACTTAAAGAGTAATATGCTTACTTGTTTCCTAAAAGGAAGCGACCACTGCTGAGAGTAATCCGATCTCTGATTCCCAAATCTTTGATCCGTTGCTCTCTTTCCTATTGAACACATGCATAGTCGCATATGTAAAGAGTCAACTGACAAAGGAGTTTAAGGCTTGAATCGATAATAGGAGAAAATGCTTCTTATTTTTTTTATTTTACCTTTTTAGAGAATGCTGCAAAAGGGTTAATGTCATCTTCGTAAATTTTCTTGTATTTTGATTCAACATCCGAGCTGAATCCACTTTCAAGATCTTCCACATACTGAGATTGGAGAACGATATCAACCATGGAAAAATAAAGAGCAAGAAAAGGTAAAAGAGAAATGCAATGCAGAAAAGAAATACCTTTTTTGATCCCCGGGAAACAACTTTATCGTGGTTATAATCTTGGACATAACGGATTTTCCCATAGAGTTTCACGTTGTCAGCTTTAGTCTTCTCCAATTCGTCTGTGAGAAAGCCTATCTTCTCTTTTAATCGCCTTATTTCCTGCAATGTCAACAGTACCCAGAATATTATGTTCAATTAGATTTATCTCTGAGATAGAGAAGACAGAGGGCAGAGGATCTTTTATATGCACTACAGTACCTCTTCTGTTTCCCGTAATCGTGCTCGGAACCGATCTCTTTGGCTGCAGATAACTTTTAGCATTGAGCTTTGATCTTGATCTGATGGAACATGCTTCTGATCCATAGGCTAATCATACGGAAACAGACAAAAGAAAAAGAGCAGTAATTACTAATTACTGTAGTGGTAAATTTATTAGTAGTTAGGTATATATAAAATATCTTGGGAATACCATAGCCATATGTAAATTTTCAAATGTTTTGGCAATGAAGCTCAGAGATAGTTTGAAACAAAATTTTAATCATAGTAATATATCTATATATCTACCACAGTTCCTGGCTATATTTTCATTCACGCCACAAATTACTTTAGACCGTTTAAAATTATCTAGTAGAGAACTTAGACTGTTACTATTAATCTAGATCTTAATTCTGAATGATTTAATCCTGCCCTTAATTTTCCCAGCTTAAGAGTGTTGCATGAGGTACCTCAGACTGCTCAGCCACACCTGCTTCTGAGAACTCCCACTCATCAAATAGAGCACCTTTTCGCTCTTTTGAACTGTAACCCTATGTAACAAAAGTAAACATAGTTTTAAGTATACTTCGATCTGGTTTATCCTTTTCACTATCCAGTTACCTTAAAATGGTAACTAAATATTCTTACTACCTTCAAAATATCATCCTCCAACTTTTGTATCAGTCTTTGTTGTTCATTAACCTTAGCTGCCAGTTCTTCTCCCTTGGCTTCAGCTTTCTCAAGCAAGGACGTTTTCTCAGAAAGTTGAACCTGGGAGAAGATGCGGTAATAATTAACCAATGTCCAATGGCATCGACTTATGTATGCACGTCACTGAAGAGGGAAAGAGCAACGAAGAGACAAAACTACAGATGGTGGTGGTTCATTCTGTAGAGGTTATGTACCTTTAACTGAGTGACCTCATGTTCCATTTTTCTGTTTTTATCAAGAAGAAGCGACTCCATTCTGCTCATCTCTTCACCAGTGGTAGCGGCATCCCAATCTTCAGCCTCAATTGAATTGTAACCTACAGCCTAATATGCAAAAATTGCATTACACCTTACACGAAAATATCGTTACCAAAAAGAACAAGCAAATATATATTTGGGCCAGTGGCACGATGTCAGTTACGAGTGAAACTAATTGAGTACCACAATACACTTGAAATAATGAATACCTGCAGAATTTTCACTTTTTTCCGCAGATCATCAACTAATTTTGCTGATGGTCTTTCTTGAAGCTCTTTCTTCATCTCTTCAATGATAGTATCCTGGTTTCATATTAAATAAAGACGGAAGGCTTAAATTAGACCATGGAAAGCGATAGGAAACGTATTTCCAAAGCAAAAATAAAAATTCTCAGCATACATAAAGACAAAACATATCACAAAATTCACCTTTTTATTGAGCAGCGAATTTAATTTCTTTATCTCGGCAACATGACTTTCTCGTTCATTCGCTAAAGTTGTCTCAACATTGTGAATCTCCATATTAAGCTCCGAAATAATTTTCTCTTTTGCATTTAAAGAGTTCTCCAGCATATTATTCGAATCAACATTATCACTGCAATAAAAGAGCACAACAAATAAATCAAACAACGCAAGAAAACATTAAATAAGAGTATAAGACCAATTTAATATTAAGTTCCTGTGTTATATGGATGCATAATGTCACCTCACCTTTTCTTGTTATCAGTATCTTCATTTGCTGTTTGCAGCTGAGAACGCAGATGTCCCTGTTACAAACCAATAAACAAAACAAGGGCGAGAAAAACCCCGGTTTATCTTCAGGCATTCCCTTAAGTAAAACATGACATCCAGATAGCATTTGGTGACAGACCTTTTCCCTCTCAAGAGTAAGGAGCCGGGTTTGAGCACGCTCTACTTCATCCATCAATAGACTAACTTCAGATTGCTTCGCCGCCGTCTCTTCGTCTGATGTTTTAAATTAAGTTAACATGTATTAACAATACAAGAAGGAACAAAGAAAGAAGAAAAGGTGAAATGAGGGAGAGCATTCCAATTATGAGAGCACAAAATGAGCGACCATGTTAAAGCTCAATGCACAACCTGACTGAGCACGGATTTCAAAAAGTTGGCTCTGTGCTAGCTCATGCAATTTTTGCATAGTGGAGACGCTGTCTTTTGCTTGCCTTAACTGATCTTGCAATGCTTGCTCCCTGTATACAGGTGAATATGGATAGGTCGGAGCTGGCTCCAAAACTCCCTAAAAACCCAAAGTATCAGAAAATAAATTATTTTTACCTATCCTTCAAAAGCTCCATAGTTTTCTGGTTTTCCTCAGCCAGGTTTCGTTGCTTGATCTCAACAACCTCTTTAATTTTTTCTTCCATCTGAATCCAAATACAACAGCAAAATATCACTGTTAATCTTTATAAGTTGTCATTTACAAGATCATGAATTAGCATCTCTATATAAGTCCTCTCTATGACACAGTGCATAAGTTTGCATTTGACCTCCCAGAATAGGCTCAAGCATTCGAGCAAGCGGTGCTTTAAAGACAGTTACATTCGTTTAGTTTTGTCCCTATATCAATTAGAACAAGAGGCTTAAAGCAAGCTGACCTGCTGCTCAAGCTGACGGTTCCGTTCTTCTAGTCTTCTTATTGTCGCCTGCTGATTTTTCAGATGAGTCGCTTCAGTCCTAAATTCCTCAAGTTCAACTTTCATTTTTCGATTCTCAGATTCCACTTCAGATAATTTGCGATCTTGCTCCTGGAATACGGCAATTGGTAAGTTCAGTTACATATCATTGAGGCTAGAGGACTTTAGGTATCTATTATGCGAACACTAGGTAAGTGGAGAATTACAGCAATAGAGGCAAGAGCAGGAAATGGATCTGGAGCTTCATAGAGTTTCTGATAGATATTAAGGAACGCATTCTCCCCAAACTTGGCCCTCTTGGTTATATTATCAACTTCTTCTTGATATCCCTTGAGAAGGGAGTTAAACATGCTAAGTTTGTCCTCAGGCGAAGCTTTCTTGAAATCTGTTACCAAGATAAACCATAGAATATCTTTTAAATCTCCCATTATCTTACTCGTGCTTAGCTAGAACTAATTGAGGTCCCTTAGGACATAGAGTTGAAGTGTTAAGCAATATAAAAGGTGAAACAAAAAGTACCTCGCGTGCTCTCTGCAAGCTTTCGTCGATTCTTCTGGCTGTTTTCTTGATTTTCAGCTATTCTAAGCCCTTGCTCATCAAGCAGACTTTTCTCCTTCTCTAGATCAAATTCTGAAACAAAACTTATAAAGACCGGTGAGAATAAACTAATCAAACCAGATAATCCGCAAGCAAACACTGAACCAGTACACCAATTAGCTGTTCCGAAACTATAAAGTGAATTGATAACTTCAAAAGCAATCAACTGAAATTTCTCAGTGCGATCACATCAAACTACCATTGCATTCTCCGGAACATCAATCACCGTCTCTAATTTGATTCAGCCTTACTACTTCCAACAAAATCCAAAATAAACCTAACCGCGAATTTCTCCTACTACCAAACAAGCTCCCACTCAGCAACATAGCGAGTCGAAGCAAACGAATAGATTACACATGAATCTGAAACAAACCTTTCCAAAAATTAGTGACGACAGGAATGGGAGAAGAGGAAGAAGACGAAGAGGAAGGAGGTGGAGGAGTTTTATCTCTCTCCGATCCATCTTGCAAAGCCTCCATTGCACTCGTATTTCGATCCCGATCTCGTTTCTCCGAAGAACTCACAACCAAATACACTTCAATACGAAGAATTTCAGGGCTAATCGAGAGTTAATGAATTTTCTGAGTTTCCTTGTTTTTTTTACTGCTCCGATCCGATCTGCTGATAGAATAGAGTTTTTTGGTGGTAAAACAGTAATTTGTTACTTGAACGTCCCAGCTTTTGTATTTTCTCTCTTTTACCTAAACAGGCTTCAAACTTCAAAAACCAAAACCTTTAGAGGGGTGTATTCAAAATGGAATTTTAAGAGATTTGAGTTTTATTGGGGTTTTAAATGATTTTGATGATTTTAGGGAAGTTCATATCACTTTTGTAAAATCCTTTCAAATCTCACCAAAAACTATGGGATTTGGATTTCTGTATTTTTAACTAAGGAAATCCTCCCAAATCCTCTGAAATCCTTCAAAATCATTAAAAGCCAAATCCACAAATTGTTTTCAATAACAGTGGATTTTAATGTGGATTTTGAAATCATTAGTTGAATAACAGTGGATTTCATGAGACTTTTTAAAATTCATGTTTGAATAACAGTGGATTTGTAAACTTTTTACAAATCAATTGAAATGTCACTTTGAATACACCCCCCTTAGAATGCTAATGGGCCAATCCTTGCGGCATTCATAAGCGCATATGTTTGCTACAGTTGTAGAATTGTTTCATTTTTATTGCATTTAAGTTGAAGAACATTTCTTAGATTTTGTTTATGACTTTTTGACTATTATTAATTAGTGCTCTTTACATATCAACACTCGTTAGACAGTTTTGGGATAACTTTTTTCTTCTTTTTTTTTCCTTCTACTTTGTTCTTATCAGTTATTTTTTCTTCTTTCATTGGAAGTACTGTAGTATTATTACATATAGAATCAGAATATTACATTACATATTAACTAATTTCTTTGAAAATATTAGCAATTTTAGGATACAGTGAGTCAATTTATCTTTTCATTCTTTAATTTTTCCTAGAGATAAAATTAAATTAATTGTATCTCTCAGTTTCCTTATAGACGGTATATAGTTTGACTAACCCAATCCAAAAACGCGTTAACATAAATTTTACATTAGTCAAAAATCTCTCACAATCCCAAAATTTATCACCTTCCATAAAGGAAAAAATCATTTTAACAGAAAGTGGAATGTACTAATTAAGGGGTGAAGAATCTCTTTTTAATGTTCAAAGTTTCTTTTTAATATAACTTTTATGATATTCTTTTCCAAAAATGCTATGTACTAAAAGATTAGACCAAAGCGACACCATCAACCATATACATACCCAACCTCCATTCTCAAAACATCTCACAACAAACAATCAAATATTTCTCTTCAAAAATTCTTAAGTACTTATTTACAATCTCTCAGCTTATTATTTAAAGACCGAGCAGAACAAAATCTTGTTAAAAATCAGATTTTGCAAGTTTTGGTTCAAGCTAGTAAAGCCAGGAGAAGAACAAAATCCAATATGACAAGGGATGATAACCAATGGACTTCTGGTCTTTGCCAGTGCGCAGAGGACGGTGAAACTGGTTAGAAATTCTTTATTTATTTTGTGATCCCTTTCATGATTCAACTTTATTATATTTTACATTATAATGATAATTTGAATATCTTCGTTTTGGTGTGCGTTACGTTGGATAAGTTTGCCTCACATGTTTCTGCCCGTGCGTCACTTTTGGACGGATCGCGGATATTGCCGACGAAGGAAGGAGCGGTAGGTTATACATTTTTTTACAAATATGTGTGTGTGCGTGTGTGCATGTTATTGACGTCGTACGTGTATATATTATATGTGTAGGTTGTCCAAGATGTGGGATACTTTACGGACTGCTATGTTTTTTTGTCGGCTTACCTTGCTTGTTCTCATGCACTTACCGAACCAAGATCCGAAACAGATTCGGGTTACCGGAGTCTCCAGCTTCGGATTGCCTCACTCACTGCTGTTGTGAATGTTGTGCTCTTTGCCAAGAATACCGTGAACTCAAAAACCGTGGTGTTGACCCATCTATCGGTAATTTGGACTTTTTTCATCTCTGTTGACCTAGTTTTATGTACACTTTTATGAGTTGGAAAACGTAATTTTATGAATTTAAATTTTATGTGACAGGGTGGAATGGGAATGTGCAACGGAGGATGGCTCCTCCCATGAATCAGCAGATGATGGGTTGATGATATTTCAAAAGTTTTTATGTTTTGCAATCATAAGTTAAATAAGTGGTTCAATGAAAACAACACTTTTGGGTGTAGCTTTTTTATTTTCTTCTATTGAGCACATTATTTCTAATTTATTTTCAGTTTTATCAATATTTGTTTGTTTTGATAAATGAAAATATAAGAATGTATTTGTTCACAACATATCCATTTGTTACTTTCCATAATTCTTTCGTGGCCGGAGTTTTCATGTTCGTGGGAGCTCATGAACAGAACATAAGTGTGAATTTCAGATAACCTATTCCTATTTCAAATATATGAATTAGTTGCTTCAAGCTCTTAAGCTACATAGAATCAGTTGTTCTGCATAAGATTTAAATTTGGGAAATGGTCCAGTACACATTTCTGAAACTAAGGGTTAAAAAATCCCCTGATGTTTTTGCCATTATTTACGAATTTAGTTGTATAGTTGAGGTTACTAGTAGTTTACAGTTAACAGTTCAAAGTTCGAACTATAATCTCTCGCACGCCGATGCAACTATAATAGAAAATTACAACCCAAAACACCGGCGTATCTTGGGGCAAAGTCCCACTCTTTCTCCGGAGAAATATGTATCTGTGGCAGCGGTAACAATCTCAGGCTCCTTGAAATTCGCTTTATTGCTTAGCTCCACGAATGCGTCGACCACGTTTTGCAACCTAGCAACGAACTCAATGAGGAGGGACGCGAATGTTGCGAGTGACAACGCACTAGCGCTTTCATACGTCTTTGTCGTCTCCACTAGCGGTGAATTTCCGTTAGTTGTCTCCATATGTGGCGGAAGCACAAGCCGTGCAGGCCACGATACCTGTTTCGAGAAAGTTGGTCTATGGTTCAATGGCTCACGATGATTCTTCTCGCCCCAGCTTGTTGGTATCTCCAAAACTGCCTCGCTTAGGGATTTGAATGCGTAGATCGGTGTTGCTTGGTTCTCTGGTGGCTCCGAATCTTCGAGGGAGAGCTCTTCTTGAGGCTCTTGCGATTCCTTGGGGGCTCGGTTTCCAATCTCCCAGCATTCGGAATTGACTAGAAGGTATGATTTCTTGTCGATCTTGTGCTGTAATTCTTCTGCAGCTAGGTGTACTTCGAAGAGAAGGTCGTCTGGTCCTATCTTCTCCATCTTCTTCACCTTTTCACCGAGCTCTCTTAACAATTTGGCTCCTTCTACACCAACTCTCTGAAGTTCTTGCCGGAAAACTTGTCTCCGTTCCTCTGGTGCCTGTCAAATGGTCCCAGATTAAGCTCGGTTCATGAACAACTGATTTCTCAAATTCTGATTTGTCCTTACCACTGGATTACTACTTAGGTTCTATCTAAATTCTACAAGTATCTGAATCTCTTATAGTACGAGGAATACCCAAATTCTTATCCATACAAGTCATCTACTATGTTGTTACCTGGATTTCTGAGAGAATGCAGCCATGCAATGCCATCACAGTGAATGCACAGTGCTTGAGAGCACCGCTGAGGTTGACATAGTTCTTCCATGGGTAGTTGAATGACTTGTATGGTCCGTGAGGCGGCTCCCAAATTGCGAAACTCATCTTTGCAAATACAACAAAGAAACAACAAACTAATTCAGAGACGAGAAGCAAGGCAAGAAAAAAAAACACTTAGCAATGATTCCACAATGACAAATACCAAAGACTCTTCTTGACTGGTTGATTCAACCGCTGATCTGTAACCCTTGTAAACTGGATCCTCTGAGGCTTGGTATGTGAGGATTTTGGATGGAATCCTCTCGTATTCTACACAGCGAAGGTATCCATTCACACAACCTGCAAGACCAAAGCCAAAACCTTTGTTATACCATACAAGCATCTTCCTGTCAAGACTTGGAAAGCCAAAACCTTAGTTTTACCAACCTTCAAGGGAAGTAGCAACATTCATAAAATTCTTGACGACAAGGTTATGAAGATCCTCTCCAGCCCATATAGGATAGATAAACATATTGACACCTAAACTAACACCAGCGCCAAGAGCTATAAGCAGAAACCGAGAGATAGCCACTTCTATGAACTGTCCAGTTCTGAACCCAGAAATCAGAATATAGCAATACGTAAGCAAGAAAACCCGAAACCCGTATTCGTAAGCTTTCATCGCTGGGTATAGTTTCATGAAAGTTGCGAGAAACCCTGTCATACAGAAACATACATAAGCAGAGCTAAATCCAAAAATGACTGTACAAGAATTGAAGATGCCAGATGGCATTAACATACCAATGCAGAAGATACTAAGAGTGCAGAAGAGCTCTTCCCAGTCACCAAATAATGTGGAAAGCTCAGCCATTCCAAGAGCAAGACCTCCAGCAGATAATGTCCCAAGCGCTCTATTAAACCCTTTGCTTAGCGTAGCTCCTATAGCAACCAACAACAATGTAGAGTTATAATACAAAAATTTTCACATAAACAAAACCATTGCAGAGATGTAACTAAAGCTGATTAAGTTCAATGCTACAGTAATCGTCAAATACAGTCCAAGCAAACCCCAACACTTGCATTTTATTTTAATTTTTAAAAAGAAGAAAACGACGAATTCATTCTAGAGATGAAAGCAACGACGCCCGCTATTTCTTAAACAAATGAAACAAAACCAAATCCAGAAAATTCCAATTCAAGTTGATTTCCAACACTCGTGATTGAACCACCAAAATTGTGGGAAAACTAAAAAAACCTCGGGAATAGTGAGATATGAAGAAGGAAGATTAAGATATACCGATCGTGAATTCGAAGACTACGACGACAGTGAGAATAGCCCAAACAGAGTAACGGCTAAGATCCGGATTAGGCTCCTGGAAAAAAATCAAAAGCGCAACAATCATGAGAGCGAGACCAATCTTCGCAGAGAAGACGATCTTTCTCGGATCAGACACTCCCATATCCCAAGCCTTCCTCGCCACATCTTTAACCTCGTTGAACACTCCTGAGATTTTCTCAGATAGACTACCACACGAACAGCAGCAACATAGCCTTGTCCTTGTTCTTTCATGGTTGTTGTTGTGACCTTCGAGAAGATCGTTCGATTCGATGTCGTTGAATCTGAAATCGGAGAATCCATTATTCGAAAGAAGCCTCTCCCGTTTCTCGAGTATCCCTTGCCTGAAGGAACCTTGCTTCGCCGCCATTACTAGACGGATTCTCAGGGAAGAAAAAAAGCTTTGTTTGAAAAAGAGAATGGCGAAGATATTATTGACTGACGAAACTGTTAGTGGTGGTGGACCTTAGTAGGTGAATAAAGTGGTCACATTATGAAGCAAAACGACGACGTTTCAATTCCTTCTCTTTAATATTATAATGACTTGTGTGTGGGCAATAATGCTACTAAAGTAGATTTGAATGCTACTTTAGTTACGTTACGTTACGTCACGTTACTTGTCGACATACAATATGTCAATCTAATTACTATAATTAGTATACTATTTTCTTTTCTTTAAGCTATGTTTAAATTTTAATATGCAAATAACTACTCTTTACAAAACACGTAAGCGTTGAACTTCAGACTCTTCCTTTGACCATTCATTTTTACAAAATCGAGATTCCGTGACTATTTTGTTCCGTTCCAAAGTTTTTTTTGTTCTTCCTTTTCTCGATTAAAAACGAGATTAGGATCTAAAGTCTAACATATGTCAATAAGCTAACAAGAGGAAACAATGTTGAGGAAACATGCAAAACTTCATAAGAATGTTAGGAAAGAACATGCAATGGTGTAATCAATTACAAGGAAGGATTATTCTAGTGACAGTGTGGACAAAATACACGATGAGATTTTGAGTGTTGTGTTTTGATGATATTGATCATAAACCTAGTCCACAGGAATTTCGACGTCCATCTCCGGTCTGCAACTCCCAAAGATCTGTGACATTGGAGATACACAAGAGTGGAGATGCAGTTTCAGATTCTAGGAATGTGACTAGTTGGAACATTACTGCAGTTCTGATGATAAGAATCACAACGAGTTAAAATTTGTACCTTTATGAAATCCTCCAGTGTTAAGAAAGAGTCACTTGTGTATCCTGATTCCTTCAAAACCTGGCTCAGTACTTCCTACAACACACACGACACATGGTGTGAACACTTGTTTCGCTGACTTTAAACACTGCTCATGATCATAACCTTAACAATTAAAGCAGAGAGATTGGATCCCAACATGATAAAGAGTAAAAGAGCATAAGAGAACAAAAGGATAAACTCTAGCATTTATTTCAAAGTTTGACTGATATGTCAAATAGTAATGGAACAACAAAACAATTAAAATGAGGAAACATTTTAGCTGAATAGAGTTTCTGCAAAACAATCATTGCACGCTAACAAGAAGGTTTTAGTAGATTAATGATGTTTGATTCTTTTAGTCATATTCTAACATATACTCATATAGTGTAGTCGCTTTCCATAAATTTAAAAGTTACCAACTTTCTATACATCATACCTCTCTTTGCTCATCAGACATGAATGATCCCGATAAGTCCCGCAACACTTCCATGATATCTTTAAAGGAGACCTTCCCGTTGCAGTCCGAATCATAGACTTTAAAGATCACTGGAAACAAAGAAGTCTAATGATCTTTCCATACAACAAAGTGAAAGTGAAGATTTGCCACAAAATCGATTTTGAGGGAAACATATCTACTTACGTTGAACTTTTTGTCGTAGACTTGCCTTGGCACTAAATGCAGACAGGAAAGCCACAAAATCCTTAAAGTTCAAACCATCAACCATCTTAAGCAGCCTCTGTTATTTCACATCAAGCAAACAATTAAAACAAAGCTAATTCAATCCAACAAGATTTCACAGATTTCAGAGTTAGAGAAAGATGTAAAAACCTGAGATAGTGGATTCATTGCAAATTCAGGCACAGAGAGAAACTCATCAGCAGAAATAAATCCCTTTGCATTACGATCTAACTGGCAAAACCTTTGATACAGAGATAGAATCTCCTGCTGTTCAACTGAAGCCAAACACACAAAATCATTAAAATTTGTTAACATATAAGAAAAAAGACAGACAAGGGAGTGTCGGGAAATCTCACATAGATCATCACAATGGCTCTGGACTTCTTCGATGTCGTATTGAGTCAGCATCGACGAAGTGTTTCCCATTTTATGCCTTCACAATCTGATTCAAACACGGTTAATCATCACAACTCAATTTAATTATCGATCACATAACATTTCTTGTAAGATTCATGGAAATCCCTAACTCAAGAAAAATTTATGATTATTGCGAGTAAAGGGTTGATTGAAGAAAAATTGATACTGATTTCAAAAACAAAAGACATGAATTTTCTCAACTTACTGATGTGAAGTTTATCTCTTTCTTCTTCTGTCCGCTTCTGAAATTCTTGGTCGCAGGCGTTTGATCTGATTCTTCCGTATCTCAGACTAAAGTTTCGCCGGAGATCTGCCTTAGAAAAACTAAAAGGCCAAAGACCCAATTTTTGAAAGCCCAATAATATAATAGCAAGCCCAAATACAACTCAATTTCACGCTCCTAGCTAAGCGCGTTGCGGTTTAAGCGCCTTGTTCATCCGGAGGAGTTGCTGCTTTGCTCCTTTCGACTTTGATTTCGCCTCTGCAAGCATTGATACTCTGAAGCTCTGAGTAGTGGAAGCCATGTTTTCGTCTCTCTCAGCTCCTTCCTCACTCTCTTCTTCGTTGATTTCTTCGTTCGTCGCCGACAAAGCACCTCCGGTCACCGGATCTCTGATTCCTCGTCGCGATCTTATTTCTGTTCGTGTCAAAGCTAGCTCAAGTCAGAATGGTTCCGATTATTGTTTTCCGGAAAAGCTCAAATCTTTTGCTAAATCAGCAATTCTCATTGGCGCTGCTGTTTCCATGACCGGAAAGTTCGCAACTTTACCGGTGAAAGCGGAGTCTCCGGTTACGACGACCGAAGAAACCTTCGAGGAAGTGAAAGACGAGAAATTGTCTGAGATCGAAACTTCTTCGCCATTGTCTGAGCTTCTAGACTCTACTCCTGAAGCCGTCGAAACGCTCAGATCACTCCTGCAGCAGAAGCTAGAGAAAGGAGAAGATGAGGAAGCTCTCAAGCTACTAGAGAGGCTCGTAACGGCACAACCAGAGGAAACAGAGTGGAAGTTTTTGATGGCGAGGCTATTAGGAGAAATGGGTCGCGTGGAAAACGCACGCCAAATGTTCGAGGAAATTCTCCGACAAAAGCCACTCTCGTTCGAGGCTTTATTCGAGAACGCATTGCTCATGGACAGGTCCGGGGAAGGAAATGCAGTGCTGCAGAGGCTGGAAGATGCGTTAGCTGTTGCCGAGGCTGAGTATTTGGTGAAGGAAGCGAGAGACGTGAGACTGATCATTGCACAGATACATTTCTTGCAGAAGAACGTGGATGAAGCATTGAAGAGCTACGAGCAGCTAACAAGAGAGGATCCGAAGGATTTCAGACCTTATTTTTGTCGAGGTATGATCTATAGCTTGCTTGACAAGAACGTCGAAGCCAAGGAACAGTTTGCTAAGTACAGAGAGCTTTCTCCAAAGAAGTTTGAAGTAGAAGGGTACTTGAGAACTCCATTATCTAAAATGAAGCTTTTTGGTGGTGGTGATGACAACTGAGTTAGTCAGATAGGTCTCATAGTATCATATCTGAGGAATAAGACACGGAAGATTAGATGTTTTCCTGAGAAATTATGTTGGAATTTTGCGATGTAGAACTTTGAAAGTCATCCATTTTTGGATCTTGTTTTGTTTATCCTATGATTCTTAATTTTATAACACAGTAAAATTAATTAGCACGAAGAGAGAGCGGAAAGAGACTTATTTGATTATCAGAAACCGATGATGTGGAGTGTAACAACACTCAAAACTCAATTACAGGAATCTGTTGGTCCGAAGACCTACAAGTTTCTAAGAACAAGAGAAATCTGCATAGAGTTTGGAAGATATCAGGGAGCCAATAGCTTGTGAGAAGATTCCACTTTATGTCCCTTATCAAATGCACAGACATCTGCATCACTGAATCCAAAAAAACAAGAAAATCCTTTGTATCAGCTGAAAGTGAAACGCTGGGGGTTGTGCACAATAAACCAACAACGTACAGCAGATTCGAATTTCACATTTTGCACAGTTCATAACAGTCAACTTGAGAGGTTTCACAACTAAACTCTTAACACTTTTACACTTTTCCACATGCTGAGGTCCAGAATAAATTTCACCTTTCAGATTGTCATAATCTACCCATTTACTAAGATTAGCTTGGTGATGGAGGAGAAAAAGTTGAGACCCTAACAGAATGACAAGTACAGTACGTACGTATTAACATCCACTTCTTCTAAATTCTTCAATATAAGTGATTGTTATAAGAATTCCAACATTGGATTCTAGTTTTCTTCATTACCAATTTATATACAAAAGGTTGCTAGTCACTAAACAGGTCTAACAGACAACGGACATAAAGGCTAAAACTAGGTTCCTAGAATCAATAAGAAAACCAATTTAGAGCCAGAAATGCCGAATTTGTCTTAAGTTCTCGATAAACAAGAAAAAATATAAAATCAATCCTTCCAGAACCAGCTTCTTACCTCAGATCAATGAGGTGCACAACATTAATCAGCTTCAACAGCCTCTGGTTTGGGACCTGCACAGATAAATCTCAATATCAGACTTAGCAATTCAAAACGACAGTTTCATTCATCAATCAAACAAAGAATGATAAGCAAGTTTACAAATGGACTAGTTACCATCAAAATCAATCCAAATATGACTTCTCGACGAATTTTGCAAATGGCATTTAGTAATCAAAGCACTATGAGCTAAGGAAAATTGACTAATTCAGCACGACATTAACCAATTGACGAAAATGAAAACCTTAAGAGAATCGAATAAAAACGTTTCAGCAAAGCATCCACCGTTAAACTCACCGTGGAGGGAGATAGGGCGGTGGTCCTTTCCCCAACCGACGCCACGAGTGGAATCGAGATACTGCTGCACAAGATGACGACATTTCTGGTAGTGATTGACTCCTTCGACGCGGTAACACCATTTGACCTTCTCACGCAAGATCTTAGCCTTCTCGATTTGGATCCATTTCTCCCGAACGATGTGCTCTCTCATCTCAACCATCGCCACCGGATCCTTGTAAGGATTTTCCGGATCAAAGCCATCCGGCGCCGACTCTTCGAACTCCGGTAATCCCTTCTTTCTCCCCATTGCTTATTTCTCCTCTCTTCTTCTTCTTCAGTCGTTGTCCTCTTCGTGATTCTCTGAGTTTGGGACCTTTCTTTTGTTCGGATTTTACTTTGGGCCTAGTATTTAGGTCCAATACATGGGCCTTAGCACAACGTACTCTTGGCCTTTTTATAAGTGAGTAATATGTAAATTTGAGATTGATACACTCATGAATAATAAAAATGTATCAACTCATACAGCATTTTAATAACTTCGATAATATCGAATGTTATTTGTAAAAAACTTGTGTTTCTTGTCTACGACATTGTAATTAGGCTGTTTGTTTACTATCGTAGATAATGACAAAACTTTCAAGGATTACAGAAAAATCTACACTAGAAAAGAAAAAAAATCTAACGTGTAGACAAAATTTGAAGATTATGTGGACTCCAATCTTTTACGATTTTAAATGAATTATATAAGGTGAGGTTTCGTGGTGTCACTTCATCTCTTTGATTATCATATACTTTTAAAATGTTAACGTCTATTAAGTTAATTAGTGCAAATAATAGACCATTTGCAATTTCTATATATGACTGATTCAAGTATAGCTATATTGCCCCTGTTGTAAAAATATACGACTGATTCAAATAAAACTGATAAAATTCATCCATTAACAAAAGGATTTGATTGTAATGATACAAAAGAACGTTCAACGTTAGATCGTAGCTCGTAATATAAACATAATTGTAACTGTTCAATCCATTTTGAATTTTTTGGTAAGAAAAAAAAATTCTGATAAGTTTGTCTAATAAATTTGTCACCATATGTACTAATTATACGACGAGCCATGATTCATATTGGGAACTCTCTTTCTCTTCGTGCATTCATATATAAAATATATATATGCTAACATGTAGATAGTAATGTGTGTGGTTCTAGAAAGCCAGAAGCCTAGAAACAAGGACGAGAAAAGTATGGAGATGAATTGAATTAATTGTGAAAAGTTTTCCAAACGGTAGGATTGACAATCTAGTTACTAATTATATATATGACGACCAACATATCCGTGTACAAATTAAAAAAATCTCCCAATAAACTCTGCCTACTACAAAATTTGAAAACTACGACTTATACATTTAATACTATTTTCTTGTATATGTATATATAAAATATACACATTCCATTAGTTTGGTGGGATTTTTTAACCACTCTTCCTGAGTAAATTAAATATTTTAACCTTGTAATTAAGAATTAAACTAACTAAGAGACCTGTTTGCCAACAACAACAAAAAAAAAAACTATCTAAGAGACCTGTATAGCTAGACTGTTCCATCTATTCAACCAGAAAATCCAATGTGAACAAATTTGATTTTCTAGGACTAGTGGTTAAACTTAATTAAGGAAAACATATATACTAGAATAAATATTTTTATCCGTGGTAACCATCCCATCTTGTTGATGTTTTTCTACAATTATTAGTAATAAAGTTTTATTTGAGCGAGGGACCAATTAATACAGTATGTAACTTTACTCGTTTTCTGTGATATATTATATGAAAGACATATATGTATATGATTTGGGTCATTTTATTTACCTATGTATCAAGAAAATAATTGGGTCCACCAAATCAATATTTTGGTTTCACACCCGACAATCGAGGAAATATTTGCACGAAACATTTTAACGTAAAATATGAGTTATACAGTTGAAAGTAATATATTCACAATGTAATATGAGAGTCAGTCGCATGCAACGCAATATCTGATATATCCGAAAACCCAATTTGAGCATATAAATATATTTTATTTTAGAACATTGCATGTGTTTATTTGTATGGATGTATACGGTAGTGTGAGATGAGCCAAAAGACAAGTGTCAAATAGAGTAATTAGATGGATGCAATGTGTCATAGAGTAATAGGGATGCAATGATAAAATATGAAAGCATGCATTTTCTTTATAGTTAATCGCTATAAATTTAATAAAGATAGTTATAATAACAGTTTATATTAGTTTTGACGATAATAGTCTAGATTTAGAATTTCACAATTCTCATATAATAATTAATAAAGAAAAAGGCTGATGAAATGATCAGCAAAGGATATATGGAGAAGCCATGCATGCATGTTCACATTACATTGGGCACTAGGGTTTCATGGTGGGTAGAATTTGGTGAAGTTGGTTGGACAAATCTCACGTAAATCCATATTATGTTTCTATAATTATATATTATATGCAAGATATTAAGACGGACGTTACTTTTATAAACATAGTAATGTAATCTAAAAGGAACATTAATATATACGCCGACAAATATTTTATTAGACACTACTACAGTGTTGATATATATTATATATGGTCATTTTATACAACACATATATCTTTTGTAATAAAAATAAAAATAAAAATAAATATGGTACGTACGTACGTATATATGCGTGGAGAAAATACCTTGAATCGTCAAAATGTTAGCTGTAATTATCAACAGTTGAAAAAGACTACCCGTGGCCGCTTCTACCTCAAGATCAGTATTTGGTACACAAATCATTATTTTAATTTATAAATATAGTTTAGTTATATATATGTCATGAACTTATATATATATATATATATATATATATATATAAACCCCATCTATGTCATATTAATTATTGAAAAGCTTTTGGCAGTCAATCTCCTTCGTCTTCTTCATCAAGAAAGAGAGAGAGAGAGAGAGAAAGGGAGAACCATTCTTCTCTTGCCTCAAGTGGTTTAAGAAGACAACAAAAAGAAATGGAAGATCATCTTCCTCCAGGGTTCAGATTTCATCCGACAGACGAGGAGCTCATAACGCATTACCTATGTCGGAAAGTCTCCGATACAGGATTCACCGGTAAAGCTGTCGTCGACGTTGATCTCAACAAGTGTGAACCTTGGGATTTGCCAGGTATATATATACTTTGATAATCTCTATAAGATGTGTTTCTTGTATATATATACTGTTCCCCTGTGTTTATATCACATCCAAATGAATCGTGTTCCCTAATTTGTCCAACAATAGTTTTGCCCTTTTGGTAGTATATAAGAATATATGGGTATGCTTCAGTTCTATAGTTTTTGTCTCTGGATTTTTCATATAATAATTTTAGAAAACGTACGTAGAATATATAATATAATATGTAAAAAAGAAAAATCAATCAATCAATCATGTCTTTAGCAAATATGATTAAAATGGATTTTACATACTCATTGATACGGTCATACCATATATATAACATCGCTAAAAGACATAATATACGCTTATATAACAATATATACTTAGATGAATACGTGCATCATGTACCACTTTATAAATGAAACCATAGTTTGTTCCAGTTACCATAGTTACCATACATTTAATTTCTATAGGTGTATCTAGCCTACCAAACATGTGGAGAATAGATAGACCATATATATAATTTTCTAGCTAGTGGTTAGTATATTGTACTTGAATCATTATATTACATTTATCCACAAAATTTGATAGTATGTTACGTTCACATATACGTAGACCATTGTGATGTCTGATGTGATTACCATTTACCAATTACATGTAACCCATATGCTGATGGTATCTTGTACATATGCAGCCAAAGCTTCAATGGGAGAGAAAGAGTGGTATTTCTTCAGCCAAAGGGACCGGAAATATCCAACCGGTTTGCGGACAAACCGAGCAACAGAAGCCGGTTATTGGAAAACCACGGGGAAAGATAAAGAGATATACCGAAGTGGAATGTTGGTAGGGATGAAGAAAACCCTAGTTTTCTACAAAGGACGAGCTCCCAAAGGTGAGAAAAGCAATTGGGTTATGCATGAGTACAGGCTTGAGAGCAAACAACCCTTCAACCCCACCAATAAGGTACATATATGTACATTAACTTGAATATTGATTAATATGCACTTTTTTAAACAATATAAATATTCTGACAATGCATATGTATTATTGTATCATCATGATACATATGTAGTGAGTCTAATGAAACATAATACAGTCTTGTTACAATATTATGGAGTACGGACTATGGATTTTTATACTCTTGAGACATGCCTGACGAACTCGTATATATACCCTATATATAAAACCCCACTTAATATACACTTACTTTAAAAAACAGAAATCATAAAAGTTAATATTTTTAAAATTAATACATAATCTTGATTCTATGAATTTTTCAGGAGGAATGGGTAGTGTGTAGGGTTTTCGAAAAGAGCACGGCAACGAAGAAAGCACAAGAGCAACAACCTCAATCTTCACAACCTTCTTTTGGATCTCCATGCGATGCCAATTCATCAATGGCAAATGAATTTGAAGATATCGAGCTTCCGAATCTGAATTCAAACTCATCGACCATCGACTACAATAATCAAATCCATCAATATAATTCGCAGCGCAATGTCTATTCAGAAGACAATACGACAAGTACGGCTGGTCTCAACATGGCTAGTTCTAATATTCCTTCTTGGACAACAAGTCTACTTGGTCCGCCTTTATCTCCAATCAACTCTTTGTTGCTCAAGGCTTTCCAAATTAGGAACACTTACGGTTTCCAAAAAGAGATGATTCCCAATTTCAACCCGTCTCCTCTTCAACAAGGAGTGGTCTCCAATATTATGCAAAATGGTTCAAGTTCGTCTCAAGCACAAGCACAACCACAAGAGGAAGCGTTTAATATGGACTCCATATGGTGAAGGGGATTCAAATCACGTATATTAAATTTGAGATTCCCTAGTCCCTACTTATGTAATCTCCATCAATTTTATCAATTGTATCATTTACACACACGTAGATCATTTATGGGTATCAAGTAAATTAATAATTAGTGTATCTTTTATGTGAAACTAGGGAAAAGTCTTCCCATGCATGTCTACGTCCTTTAATGTGAAGGGGGACAAAGACACGTCTTATATATATATAGCCTTTGTAGTTTTCATTTCATGTATATATTACTTGTTAACATGGGTCGTCGTTTGAGCCTTAAATTAAGAACAGAGCGAAGGGAGCCCAAATCATCAGCGCTCGTTGATTTGGACATATTTGAGTCCATTTGGTTTAATATAGAGGACTAAGGCATGAGTAGTCGATTTGAATATTTGTTTTCTCACAGCTAGGGCTTATATGATAATAAATGTCGCATGCCAACTTCACAGACCCAAGGATTTGGCTCTTTGCCAAAATTTAAAATGTACTCAATCATCACGTACGTAGAACATGGCAACTACTAGATCAATCGGCCAGATGAACATTTCTCGGTTAACTAATGGTTCCAGAAATGCAGAAATTCTTGAGATCACACTAGTCGAGAGGACTTCAGATTTAATATACATTTGATTAAATTATAATATTTTTTTTATAAAATAATGATGATACACTGGCAAAACTTAAAATGTATTTGAAAACAAGAACTATATATGGATGCTATTTTCTTCCCCACGGGCTAGGCTGATATAGACGGACCAGGTTTTGCTTTTTGAACTCGTAGATTATGTGATCTCTGCAACAAGAGACTCTACCTTACACGTCGATGATAAATCACCACTTACTGTACTCTTTCTTTTCTTTTCCCATCAGTGTGTATAGAACCATTTCTGTGATATCTCATCGTTAGCTTCAACCTCCTGAGATAGGACAATGCATGTGTCGAAACACTTTTTCTGCTTAGCGAGATGAATTACCAGCTTCTTCGATACTAGAAATAGCAGATTCGTCATCACTTTCATCCCAATCACTCTCATTATCCTCCACATCATCTTTCTCATCCTCGTCATCATCATCATCATCGTTCTCCCATTCTGATTCATTGTATGACGGGTTCTTTGCGGTCTACAAAAACCAGCACGTAGGTGAATCAGAGCAGAACACCAACGCAAAGGGAACTTAATAGTGTCAGAAGATTAAAGTTATTGGACTCTTAGACATCGCCAGTTGAAAAAGACTACTTACGAGTTGGCTCTGCATTTGCTCTATTGTTCTCTCCAGTTCAGATATATGCTGACTAAGGGCCTGCAATAATCGCAAAAGAGAAGTTTCAGTAAGCAACTTGTGAATATAAATACAACTTGTGTAGAAAACTTCAGGAATTTCGCACCTCATGGCGTTGCATAGCGATGGATCGTTTCAATGCTTTTGCTTTTGTCAGAAGATTTCTTGGTCTCAAGCTAATGGGTCTCCTGTAATTCTTCCCACGGTAATAGATAAGAGCAAATCCTTTAGGAACCTTTTCTATTGCCACAAGAACTCCACCGCTTTCGTATTCCAGTAACCGAGCCGTGTCCTCAACAAATGCAAGGTTCTTCTGTTTTGATATAAGCTTCACCAATTCTCTGTGCTTCCAATGCAAATGCATATTTTCGATGACTCCATCGAAAACACCACGGATACCTGTTAGGTTAACGTAAAAAAAACAGTGAATTCATATAACAAGACGAGAGATGTTCCATTATATTACAACATCTTAGTTACTGCACACATACAGGATAGAGCAACAATGCTTAAGAGAACAGGACTCACCTAAGGGTAAGTATGCCTTCATTTTCAATCCCACTTTCCGGAACATAGCTCTTTCTTCCTCGGAGATGACCTCTTGATCATAATCAGGCCCATTTGGAATCATAGAGGCTTCTATTTTGGACAACAGTTTCTCTGCTCGTTGAAATTTGGATTGGCCCTGTTACAAACCAAGGGAGAAGTTAGATACACTAATACGACTTACTATCACAGGAGAAGTTAGATACACTAATATGACTTACAATCACAGTTGCCACAAGACATCTCACAATAGACCTCAAGTTACAAATTAGCAACCAGAAAAAAAGAAGTCTACTTACAATGTTTAGTTTGTGCTGGATTCTTTTAACAACTCTCGCATTTGCCACCCTTGAAGCTTCTTCAATCATCTTTTCTCGATGGTCTGGAGTTATTTCTTTCCCCCATCGCGCTTGAGCCTCATAAAACTCGGCCAGAGTGCCAGCTTCTGCTGGTACTTTGTCACCAACAGGCTGAATAGCCTTAATGTCGCGAGTTCTTACGCTCTCTTCGACATGTTGAATCTCTTCTGTTAATTCTTGTCTTTCTACCGGTACTTTGTCACCAACAGGCTGAATAGCCTCAATGTCGCGAGTTCTTACCCTCTCTTCAACATCTTGAATCTCTTTTGTTAATTCTTGTCTTTCTGCCAAAGTAGCTGCAACACTTGAAGGAAGGAAGTCTTTCCCTCGGTATATTACAATGTAATACTTATTTCTGAGCAGCAAGACACCTCCTGTCAATGCCTATAGCAACAAGACAACAGGTAATGAAAGAACTTAGCCTTTCCGTGTAAATATTTAAATATGTCCTAAATCCATAGAATTGGGCACAGGGTGATGACAGATACTTTCTACTATTTTTTTAATCAATATATGGACTGCTTTAGTATTCACTTTTCCCTATAATTGGACTTTAGAGAAAAAAAGATAAGAGAGACCTTCAGCTCGTCCGCCATAAGTTTGTTATTTGTATTTTGGATACCTCGCTTCACAGCGATCTTTGCAATCAGACTTTTCTCCCAGATTTGGAGTATTGCAGCGGCCAGTCCTTGGTGATTTCTGTTCCTGCCTGTAATGAGCATATTCAAGTTTTAAACCTCGGCACACCAAACAGAAGAACCATCTAGGATCAGAAAGCATCTTACCAAGAGCAAAATGGCATGGGAGAGTTTTACCAATCTTCCTGAGATTTGTCATTTCAGCATTGGTCAAATTTGATCTCATCCCAGTAGGAAGAAGCCTGAAAGGTGTTTTATAACCAGGAACTGTAGGAGGTAGTAAGTCAGCGTCCACAGGTAGCACCCCAGTACCCCACCATTCTTGAAAACGTGGACCTAAGCTGTCTAATAGATTGTTAAATTCAATTTCTTCTTCTGTCATATTCTGCTTGCGAATAGGGTTCTTGACGATCGGGTCTCTGATTTCCAAAGGTGGATTTTGGTTATCTTTGGCATTTGTTGCTTCATCGCCAGCAGACGATACATCTGGGACAAAAAGAGTTTCTTTAGGTCCGGCCATTCGATTAGAGATCACAGAAGGTCCTTGATAGTCAAGTCCACGATAAACCACCATTACACTTCCAGCCCTCCATATCACCATTCCACCAGTTCGACGCTGCCCATTAGAGTAAATCTTATCAGTTTTCTTTCAAACCTTAAGGTTTGACATGCATCTCCTACGCAGTCATGTTACTCCAAAATAATTCTAACAGACGTGCTCAGCTCCACCCATTCTAATTATCCCAGACCTTAAATTAACCTTATTCACAACTACGTTACCATTTCCAAGAGAGATCCACCACAAATTCCTACTGTTCAAATGAAAGCTCTACAACCATTCTATTACAGAGCTAAATAGAGCTTAGGTACTTCACAATCTCCAATATTGTCCCTCTAAAAGGATCATTTCACTTCTGTGAAGTGAATCCCCAATTGATAAAGAAACCGTTCTCATGAGATAATCTCGCATCATGTTTTGTACCTGAAGCTGAGCTAATATCTTATAAACCTCTGCTACCATGACGTAATCAGTGAACTATGGAAGAGAACTAACTAACCTCAACTATCTCATGGGCCGTCTTCATGTCACGAGCAAGCACTTCGTGGAACTTGAGCCTCACAAGTTCTTCTTTCCTCCACGTATCATGAATCTTCTCCATCACAGCCTGCGTTAGCCCAGCTTTAGGTATATTGATCCTTACCCTCAAATACATTCCATCCCTCCTCAGCCGCCGTAACTCAGAATCCTCAACCGTAAGCTCTGCCAGTGATGGAGCTCTAGCTCTCCTTTTCGTCATCACCGCCACTCCTCCCTCTCCTTCTACTCTCTCCGCCGCCTGTTCTTGCTCATTCTTCTCCCATGGCAATAATACATCATCCTCTTCTTCACTCTCTTCTCCCTCAGCAAGCATCATATCAGGCCTCACCCACTCCCTCTTCAACAAATCCCCCAATCTCTCTTCTCCAGTCACCAATTTTACATCCCCGCCGTTCATTCCACTCTCCTCGTCATCTTCCACATCCTCCTCATCATCCGAACCTAATCCTAAATTCCGTAGCCGAAGAACAATCCTCTCAATCGCGTTTTGTCCTTTATCCCGCTCCAAATACCGAAGTTTCGCTTCTGCTTCCTCCTCCGCCGACCGAATTTTAGCTCCGCCGTTGTGTTCACCACCTTTCTTCCCGGAATGATCACTGCCAGCTCCGGAGGATGACGGAGGCCACTTATCGATCCAAGGAGGACTAGGTTTATGATTCCGATTATCTAATCGACGGTTGTTATGGCTCCTGTTGTTGCTACGCTCACTCGTACGGAGCGACGAGAATGGCCGAATAATTAGCTGGCGCGAGGGTTTCACACCCAAGGAATAGAAGAGCAATGCGTGGAGCGAAGGAGACGAACAGTAACGAGAACTCGAGGTCAAAGGAAGAGAGCATCTCAGTGGCATTTCCGTAAAATTAAGCGGGACCAAAGCCATTGACACGCTGAAAAAGTCTGGAGAAAGCTTCAGCGAAGTGTCTTCTTCGCCATTGTTTTGGATACTGGAGTGCAGGCGGATAAGCTGGATTACTCGACCATACGGATAAGATTGTTTTGGGTTTTAAATAATGGGTCTTTCAATTGGGCTTTTAAAGCCCATTACTAGGAATTAAGTTAAAAATATAATTACGAAGGTGAAAAGTTATATAAGCTGAGCCGGGTCTTGAGTAAAACCGGATTCGCTGTCGTTGGGTCACCGGCCGTACTAGAGACTCACCGTGAATTCGAAACTCAAAGTGAAAGAAGCTCCGACTGATTCCACTTTCTGCCGCCAATTTTTGTTCTTTTTCGCTTTAATTTTTTTTCCGGTGAGACTAAGGAGATACCATGGGTCGACCTCCAAGTAATGGCGGTCCGGCGTTCCGATTTATCCTATCCGAGGTTCATCCCGATTCTTTGTAATGTGATGTGTTTGGTGTTAATTTAAGGGATTTTGAGCTCCCCAAGCTGAAAAATCTGATTTTTCTGTCGGTTTGGTTTCTTAGATTAGGGTCTCCTTTTTGGGTTAATGATAGGGTTTAGATCCTGAAGATCAGTTGAATTTTGTTTGTAATTAGCTTAGTAGAAGAAACTGCCTTATTGTTTGAGCAATTTGCGTTAATCGTTATGCGAGACTTTAAGGTAATTCGATGTATTTTCTGAAATCTATTGGCTCTACTTTGTTAATTGGAGTATAGATTTGGTTATTCATAAGTGTTACCATCTGTCTGTTGTTCTATGGTTTGGTCAGTTCTCTGAAAAGGTTTTATCTTTTTATAAGGTAACGGAGATGGAAGCAATTTTGCTACAGCATAATACAGCAATGCCAGGTCGACATATTCTTGAAGCTCTTGCTGATAAGTTTAGGTATTCACTTTGTTGTATGTAGCTCAATTCCATTGGTTTGAAAGCACTCTTGTTGTCTTTGTCATCTAAAAACTGGTACATTTGTTTTCTGTCTCAGTGAATCACCTGAGCGAAAGGGGAAAATTGTTGTGCAATTCAAGCAGGTACTGGCCTTTTCATTCTCGATTCTTGAGTTTTTCTAGACAGTCTGTTGGAATAGCTTTTTATTTTTTTATTACTTAATTGAAGTGCTGTTTGAATGCATCGTAGATCTGGAACTGGTTCCAAAATAGGCGATATGCTTTAAGAGCAAGGGGAAATAAAGCTCCTGGGAAGCTAAACGTATCGTCCATGCCGCGTATGGATTTACCAAATCAAATGAGAAATGTGATTCAACCATTAGCCGCTCCTAAAACCACTCATATGACTGGAAATCTACCCGGCATGACGCCCGCCCCTTCCGGTATTTTAGGTGCCTTATATTTTCTAATGGCAGTCAAATAGGTTGAGAAGCTTATGTATTTAGATAGGTTTCATTGGATTATTCAGTTTTATATTTTTATCCATAAGTCTAGATCAGTATGGCGTATATTGCATACATGCCACTTTTATAATGGTTTACTGCTTTTTCTCATAGTTCCCGGTGTCATGAGGAGTGGTTCAGACAACTCGTACTTAGAATTTGAAGCCAAATCTGCTAGGGATGGTGCATGGTGATTTCTTTGCATTCGATCTTCAGTATTTTTGACTGACTTATGATACTTTTCAACAATACCATTACATTCCACTGTTTTTCTCTGATATGTATCTCTCTTGCGTACTTACAGGTATGATGTGCAAGCTTTCCTAGCTCATAGAAACTTGGAAATTGGCGATCCGGTAATTCCTAAATAATTTATAGTTTACTCCTCTTTTCCCCTTCTTAGATTTGCTAACAACAAATTTTTCTTTTGGGTATTTCAGGAAGTGCAGGTTCGATTCGCAGGTTTCGAAGTTGAAGAAGATGAATGGATAAACGTCAAAAAACACGTAAGACAACGGTCTCTCCCATGTGAAGCATCAGAATGTGTTGCAGTTCTTGCCGGAGATCTCGTACTTTGTTTCCAGGTTTATAACTTCGTTCTCTAAGCATTTAGTGATAGGTGTCATGTAATTTTGTCCCTGACTGGATTTTGTTATAACATCTTCAGGAAGGAAAAGATCAAGCTCTTTACTTTGACGCCATTGTTCTTGACGCACAAAGAAGAAGACATGATGTCAGAGGTTGTCGTTGTAGGTTCTTGGTGCGTTACAGCCACGACCAGTCCGAGGTTTGACAATCATCTCTCTCGCTATCTTTTGTCATCTGGTTTACCCATCAGCTGCCATTTGGTTTCATGGTTAAGACCCCAATGCAAAACCCTCCTCACTCACCTATTTTGGATTTCTTTTCCGTTATCCCAGCAGGAAATTGTTCCCTTGAGGAAGATTTGTCGGCGGCCCGAGACAGATTACAGGCTACAACAACTTCACAGTGCTGTAAATGATTTGACTAATTTGAATCAGCATCAGATACCCGCTCTAGATGCGGCTGCAAAAACCTCTCTTTCACATTCCGGAACTTCAGTTCCCATTGTTACACCCGAGCCGAAAGATCGGAGCTTGAGCGCCACTCCAGCCACTTCGGTTCAGCCTAGCTCCAATGCAGCCGCTGTCCCTGCTGGTTCTGCCTAGGCCATGTAATTTCTATCCCCTTTTGTAACCGCCATTTTCACAGTTACTAGTAGAGCCGTAGGGGTTAACTCGGGATCATACGCATTTGTAATCTCACACAATGACATTAGTCATCTAAAGCTGTATCATGCCATATTACTTTGATCCTTCATGTATGATGAAATAATTATGGTTTTATCCTGGTTTATTCATCATCTGATGATGGTCACCGGTTACTTTTTGAACAAGCATGTGGATTTATTCTTAAGGTTAAATTTACAAGTGAGGAATCTTACCTTGAGAGAAAGTATAATGTGAAAAATATCTTACTGTGATGAGCAGACTAGTTAACACTTTAGGTGAATAAAATTATTTTGCTTCTGTAGGTAAAGGATTGATTGAACAACTGTTTTTATTGTCACTGAATAACAATGGTAAAGAAACTTACAGATTGATGTTTCTAACTTTGTAACAAGGGCTCAACTCTCTGAACATTTTATCCAATGCCCTACATATCTATCTATATACATTATAGATGATTGTTTGATCAGAAAACAAGTGACTACATAGGTGCGGGTAATCTCCGGATATAGGGTCCTGTCCCCGAACCTGACCCTGATCGAGATGGGGAATGAGATGGTGCTTGAACAGGAGAAGAGTTAAGAATCTCCTTACCAAGGTCTTTGATCTTGTTGATAAGCAGCATTTGCTCTGTCTGAAGCTGGATCAAATACTCTTCTTGTTCGTCCTCCAAACTTTCCAGCTCTTCTAAAGCTTCAGCAAGACCTTCAAGATCTCCATCGTCAATCAAATTCTGAAACTTTATCATCACCTGCTTCATTTGGTTGGACAACAACAGAGCTTTGTTAAACGGGGAGCCAGAATCCGCACTGGCGCGTCTCGTAACCTCCATGACTTTCCTCGTGACTCTGACATGGATCTCGCCGTGTGTCACTCCTTGGAGAGGTATCCACTTATCAGCAGTCTCGTTTGGCTTTAACCCTTGGTACTCCACGACGCAGTTACCTATACTTGATGTCGGAAGCAGAGTGTTATGGTCTTTGACATGTAGTTCCAAGGAGCTCCCATCATCTGGAAACTCCATTGTCTGGTTCCATTTCGGTTGCAATGTCTTAAAAATCACCTGGAAACAATAAACACACAAGAAAAAGCAACTCTTAAGTTTTGTTTCCTAATCTCCTTATAATGTCTTCTTTGAGTCCAAACGGTTTCTTTAGTACCTTTGTTCTCTGTTTCTTCTCTCCATATTGAACTCTAACATAAGGATCACTAGTTCCTCTAAGATCCGCGGCCACAAGATCTCGCGCTTCAACAAGAACCAATTCAATCAAGCCTTTACTAGAATCTGCCTGCGATTAAGCCGATATTAGACTAAACAATCAATGAGGCAATCAATGAGGAAAAAGGAGGAGACAGAGTGATGTTTGTCACTTACTTCGCTGTACTCCGGAGCCAGAGCTTCAATCAAAAGCTCTATTTCTCCAGAATTAACCTCTTCAAGCGGAACCCATATATGCATTTCGCTGTTATTGATTCCTTGAAGACTCAACGTAGCTGTACCGATGTTGTCCGTGCCAAGCATCTCTTCTCTATAGCATTTCACCTTTAAATATTCTTCTCCGGCTAACTCTTCAAACTCAAATTTCTGGTTCCAGACACACTCTGATGCGTTAACTATCTTCGTCTTTTGTATAATCTGCATAACATTCACAAACATGTCCGCCTCTTAAGATTTTAAGACCGTGCAGTGGACATTTAAAGAAAATTCATGAAATGATTACTTACTTTTCCGTACTGTAACTTGACAGAGGCATCACATTTTCCGGATTTATCTTTAGAAACAAGGTTCTTTCCAGACAGAACAGTTACAATAATCTTCCGGCCGGTTTTCGAGAGGAGGGTCGAGGAGCTGTCAAGGGAGTGTAAAGAACTCGAATTAACGCTATTCAAGCTATGTGAGCCATCAGAGAAATGCCATTCTTTTAGAAGTAGCCGGACAGTCAACTATAGAGGAAAACACAAATAAAGTGAATTGGCCAAACTGAGTAACAAGTTTATGGAGTAATACAGTTGAAGAAATTGTATCATCTACCTCGCCGAAGCTAACTCCTTCAAAGGGAACAATCATCTCGATTTCTTGACCACAGAACTCAGCATGTTTCGCAATCACACTGTTATCAGATCCAACGGCCCAGAACATCGTTGAATCATCACCTACGTATTTCATCTGTACATTCCAAGAGAGAAAGTTGAAGAACATGTAACGGCCAGCAACAACAACAACTTAATGACCTAAGCATTCATTAATTACCTTAACTTCACAGCTAGCGAGACTGTCATATCTGACACTCCCAGGATTATTCTCATAGAGATTAAACTTAAGTGTCCCTGTATTGTCGTGTAAAATCATGTTAAACGTCGATTGATAAGCTGGATTCGGTCCTGACTTCATCTCGGTTCGTCGAGAAAGCTGCTCGAGTTCGA